TATGTATATATATATATATATATATATATATATATATATATATATATATATATATATATATATATATATATATATATATATATATATATATATATATATATATATATATATATATATATATATATATATATATAGTATATCATATACCCAGTTTTTTACTATTTATTTCAATATCTGTATTAATTTCAATATATGTATCAATATTAAAACGATTCTTAAGTAATTAAATGTTTAAAAATATATATATAAATTAGCAAAAAGGTGTTTTTAAAATTCTCCTTGAATCATGGGAAGTTCCAAATCTTGATTTGGAAATGTTTCAAGAAGATCATTAACTAATGTACTGGTTCCATTATTGAATAGCTCAATGTTGTCGAGTAAAGACATTAAATTCAAAGAATTATCAGGATAACTGTTCCATGTATCATTAACAGGTTTTCCTATTGAAAAATTCGATTCTGCATGAGATGTCTTAAGTCTTTGAAATTGTTAGAACTTGGTTCTTGATATAGCAATACTTTACTAATAGTTTATCATTACTTAAAAATTTTAAGAAGTTTTAGCGCTTGCGTGATTTAACTAATTTTTTTTTATTTAATAAAGCATTCTGGATATTTTTTGGTCGAAAAATTATTGGACGCGAAAAAGACGTTCAAAAGACGTTTAGAATTTTAATGGGGCGGACGGACGCGATTTGAACGTCCTAAGGACGTCTTTTTTACGTCATGTGCCCACTGGGTAAGCTTTGGTGATAAATGCTTTCTAGATCAAACAACAAAATAAGTAGGACGGACTAGGAGACTTTGTCAATCCCATCTGGTTTGATTTCAGTTTGTATGTAAACGGATTAGATTACTTTGTGCTTTGCAAAGATGACCCAAATGTAATCAGGAAGAAAAATCCGATATTTCGTATGCATTATAATAGAAGCTTCTTTGTTAGCCGTGGTGATTCCTATTAAGATCCATTTTTTAACAACTTTACTTATAAAGTGCACATTCATTGTGCCCAAAAAAGAGCAAACTTTGTTCACATTCTTTATAGTTGCGGTGTAAAATGGAACATCCATACGACTTGAATGGAGGTTATTTAGAGGTGTAGACTTGTCTTTTTCCTTCCATTTTGGCAGCAATCAAGTATATAAAGCACTTCTGCTAAGTTGGCAACCTCTCTTCCCATGCTCGGAGCCAAGCTCATTCAACGGTCTAAGGCTTTGTATAAAGTAATAAAAAATATTTTTCAGAGATTAAAGTTTAAAAGTCTAATATATTCCAATAATAATCTTTGTCAGCTAAAGTTATCTCACCCGATAGATTCATGTTCAGCGAGTTGAATGATGACGCACAATAGCTCAGATTGCTTTATTTCAATAGTAGGGCAACCAATTCCATTGCGTACATAAAAAGCTTGTTTCAATTCTGAATGGTTAGCGAACACCTGCAGTACCAAAAACATTATACCAATTAATTATTATTTATTTTCAAAAAACTTATTATTTAACTTACTATATATATATATATATATATATATAAATATATATATATATATATATATATATATATATATATATATATATATATATATATATATATATATATATATATATATAATAGGCAATAATATTACCTAATTTATGAGGTTTTTCTTTTTAGCCCGCGACGAACGTTTTGAATTCACATTGCCAATAAAGTTATTCAGATTACCCGTGAGCTCCTTAACATTTGCCTTCTTCTTTCTATTGGTTTGTTCGTTACCATCGGTCCAATGGCTCCTTTTTCTGCTCTTCATAGCAACTCATTTTTTATTCAAAACAACAAGCTCTTTTTTGATTGTGTTTTGTGCGTGATCTTTTTTTTATTAATTTCAACTGCGTTAGGAGTGTTGCTTAGAGAGGCAAGCAACGTAGAAACAACGACACCATCTATTAACTCAATAAATTATTCTGAAATGGGTTGAAACTCTAAGAAAAAAGAACTGGCTGTGGAAGGAACAGATTGCTTGGTTATTTGCTGGGCCCCGCAATTTTCAGAAAACAAAATAAGGAATAATCTCTTTAATGATTACTAAACAGCCAAATTCCTTTAGAGTATTTTGTTATAACATTCGTTTAAGACATTTGCTACGCAAGAAGTTGAACAAATACTCTTATCAGACAACCATTAATGATCGCAAAACTGTTTCTTTGGGGACGAATTCCGCACAAAGATATTGCTCCTGATTTATATAAAAATCCGTAGCGCTAAGCTTATCATAATTGAGATACGAGAAACTAGGAAAATTTGACAGTATAAAATTAGTTGTAACATATTTAATATATATATACGCAAAAGTTAAAGAAACATCAATACAAATTTCTTTCCTTTAATCATAATAAATTCAATACATTCTCTCACGTTATATATTTAAATTACATTCTCTAACTTTAACTTCGTTGACATTACATTATCTAACGTTAACTTCATAAATACACATGTTTACATAGTTTTCAATGTTATTAGAATTAAAATAAAATATAGAAAAATTCTATAAAATAACGTCTTTTTCTGATAAACTCCCACCCCCTTGTCTTTTTTTTTTTGATTTTGACCACCTTTCCCCCTTTTGCATGACATCCTTTATGGCCACTTACTCGGATAACATGGATAACATAGATATGTAGCATAGATATCAACGACATGATATTTGTAACATAGATATCAAAGACATTCAATCTTTTATAAATAATCTAAAATTAGCGCCTATGCCTTAAAAACAGTTTTTGATATTAATGATATTAATTTCTCTTTACTCTACTCTAAAGAAAGAAAGATGAAAGATTTAAAAAATCTTTGATCTTTCTTTCTTTTAAACCAGATAATGTTCCGTAAAAATTAAAAATTGTACGAGTCTATCTTATTTTTAAGTCTGGTAATAACTTACAATATTAATTAATACTACGGTTATTTCATGTTTTTCTATGTAATTCGAACTGATAATATATAGGTTTGGCTTAAAAGTAATGCTGTTGATGAATTAAATTTTTTTTTGAAAGTTTAATCATCATGATGATAGACTATATGTTGTTGCAACAACATAAAGTCTATCAATTTTTTTGATCACTTGTCAATGCTTAGACAAAGAACAAACGCTGTTGACTTAGAACTCTTTAGGTTTTGAAAAAAAAATGTTATCGAGGCCTAATGTTACGACAATGTAGGAACAGGTGTTGTCATGGTGAAAGTAAACTTTGCTGAGACTTATGCGTTTTTTGAGAATTCCGTCTAAAGTTTGTCGAGTTGAGCACAGTAAACTGTGCTCAACTCGACAAACTTTAGACGGAATTCTTATATTTGATAAAAGCAGTATGCAAAGTTGTGCACGTTTCACTGAACCAAAAACAACATCTTTTTGTAGTTAGAGTGTATGTTGACTTTTGATGTTGGTTTTCGCAGCTGTCTGTTTAGACATTAGGGCTTCCCTGTGTGCTCTACAAAAAGTATCCACTTCTTATCTATATTATCACTGTCCTATTTGGAGGACAATGTTCTACATAAAAGAAGCCTACTTGACTGCTGCGGCTCTCTTTGCCTTGTAGAGGTGAATATTGTGAAATTGAATTTTTAACTTTGTTGTGCAGCCCAATTGCGTATGATCAGTTTATTATATAATGCAAATTTGCGACTTGTTCTATTTTAATTTGTTCTCTGAAAAAGTGGTTAGAATGCTTGCTTTATAAGCAAGAGATCCAGGGTTCGAAGCAAGCTCTGGATATGTTATACGCCATCATGATGGCGTAAAATATAGGGACTAGAAAGTTTACTAAACTTGTATCGACTTTGTCTAGCCAAACATCTAACTACTACACCACGTCTGCTTTTATGATAGCTTATGTTTCCTTTAAAACTTTTGAACACTTTTTTTGGATCAACTGTCATAATTAAATATTATTATTAAAAAACAGTTTTAAATTTTATTGTTATTGTAAATTAATTCAAAAGTTTTCTTTATTTCACGTTGCAAAACATGCTTTTAGAACTTGTTAGGTAAGGGAACTGCAACCCGCAGCTCATTTAATAATTCAAAAAAATCTTGAAAAGTTATTCCAAAATATAAAGATATCTGCAAAAACAGTTAATAACAGAACAATAAAAATAGCAGAGAATGCGGCATCACAACAGATTTCTGATTTAAAATCATCGCCCTTGATTTCTTTGGCGTGCAATCGTCTATTCCGTTGGCTATTTAGGGGGACTATTCTTAAATGTTTCGGTCAATGTATCGAAGGCATTAAAAAACTTAAAAAGCTATTATAAAAAGCAACTAAATACCAAGAGTTGAACTATCGTAATTAGTTATCGAAATTCTATTTTTCTATCTTATATATGAACATAGTTAAAAGTAGCTTGAGATCCCCTGTCGATAATTTTAGTCATGAATTATGATCCCCTGTCGATAATGTCATGAAAGTTGTCTTAAACTAAAGACCTCAAGTTAAGAAGCTAGTTTAAAACAAATTTGTAAAAAAAAGTTGTAATTTTATTTACTTCGTCAGTAAAAAAGAAAACAATGCCTTGTTATATAAATAAAATTTAAATGACCGAGAAAAAAAGAAGACAAACTTTGTCTTCTAACTACGCCCCGATCTTACTTATATTTTTGTGAAATCTCACTAATGTGTTTGTTTTATATTTTACAAAATCTCACTTAAATTTTTGTTCATTTTTATTAAATTGTTTTCATTAACTTTCTTAGGTTTTAACTTTGTGAACAATATAAATGGATCATAATTTAACTTTTTTAATGTTTCTTCTAAGTGTTTATTGACACGTTTTAGAGGGCTAATATGATCTACTCGAGCTAATTCAGAACTTTTGTCAAAAAGATATATTTGAATATTTATCTTTCTTATTTTCGTAAAAGGTATTTCTTTGTGTGTGCGTGTGCACATTGCTAACGAATCTTTATGATGAAGCAAAAGTTGTAATATTAAAGAACTAAAAATAAAATAAAGAAATGAATAATTAATCATAAAGTGCAATATTATAATTATTTCAAATAACTCAAAAATACAGAAAATTTCTTTAAATTTAAACACAATTAATTAGTTTATGGTTAAAAATATGCCGCTTTTAAGCTTGTAATTATTCTTGTTGTTGGGCGTAACTAATTTACTTATTGAAATTAGTTTGAATTTAATTTAAAGGTATGTCTTATAGTATTTATAACGCTCATTAGAAAAATTTATTACCGTTTAAGTTTTTTCAAGTTGACTAAGTATAGTCCTTATTTCAGTTTCCATAGCTTTTGTTTTTTCATTTATGCTTTTTGTTTTTACGTAAAAATCATTACGCAAATTTTTTACTGAGGAAAAGCTTCGGAATGACGTGTCTTCTTTAAGACTATTCGAATTTAAATTGTTGGTCGAAAACATTTTGTCAATCGTCTGATCGTTTTTTGATTTTCTTTCAAATTCTGTTATGATATCGATAGTTTTTGGCATGCTTTTTTCGAATATCGTTCTTTTTTTGTCTTTAAATGTTATCACATTTTTATCAAGCACAAACAAAGGTAAATTTTTTTTTCTCTAAATATACATTTTTCAAAAAGGTAAAAATTAAATAATAAAAAAGTTAAAAGAATTTACTTTTAATAAACTTAATCTACTAAATCATGCATACCTTTTTTGTTATATCAAATGAAGGTTGAAATGCGTATATAAACAAATCTCTTTCTTCTGGAAACAAACTGAGAGACTCGATAATACTATCGATTCTTAAACCGTGTATTTCACCAAACGAATTAGCTCGAACCTCGAACTTTGATTTCGATGATTCCATAACGGGGCGTAGACCAAACGAATCAAACGGCGCTGAAAAAAAGTTTTTAAGAATAATAGTAAATTTAGAGTATATTTTTTGACAGCAATAGTTAATGATAGTAAGATAATTTCAACAATTTTGTTAGTTTTTCGATAAGGAGCGGTGTTTGCGTGGGGGGAGGGGGAGAGCAAAACTAGACAGATTATATTTATCATGATACTAGTCCCAAAATTTATTATTTTATGATTTTAAAAAGTGAACTTTTGTTCTTAAACCCATAAGTGTTAGGAAAAATATTACGAAATACTTTGAAATAAAAAATGAAGAAAGTGACAGTCATTTCATTCTTATATGACAGTATATATATAAACATAACGTATATGTCAATTACGAATTTTGAAGCTTTGTTATTATAAATTTTTTTCGCCTTTTTTATTCTCGGAGTGTAAAATAACTTTATATTTAATTTTTGTTTGTAATTTTTATCATTTCCAATCAACCGTAATTTATTTTTTTAACAAAGTTGTCAGAAAATTAGGGGCCTTTGATGCCGACATGTTGCGGGGGAAAATGAGATATTTTATTTTTATTTTAGATTTTGTCAATAAACGATCTCTAAAATGTAACCACTGTAATTTGAAACTCAGATTTTTTGGATTATAGAAGGATGTTATACGACTTCGAAAAAGTTTTGCTCTATTTTCAAAATTTATTACATAGGCCGTATTAGATTAGCTGGTGCTTAAGTGTCTTATTTTGCTTTGTTTTTTCGCGCAGTTTTACTTTGTTTTTTATCAAATAGAAGTTTTACCTTAATCATAAAGAAACATTGTATATTGCTTGTATTTTTGACTTTTCTAGTTTTTTATTAAGTATAAAAAACTTTTGCTAGAGCTTACAACTGATATTGTAAATTGATATTGGAATTTGTACTTATAAGCCACCTCAACAATTTAGCTGTTGGAATATGAACTCAGATGTTGCGTCAAAGAATATTATCAAACGGTTATCGTCAATATATAAGTAGTTTGACTTATATAATACAAAAGAACAGTAGTATTTTTAATGCATATTAATCAAACTTTACGTGATTCAACTTTTATTAGCTACTAATAGTTCTATTTTTGTTGTTCCGATTTGAACATCTGTTGTTCCGATTTTAACATTCATGAAATTGTTAAAATTTCATGAATGTTAAATAATAAATTTTTAACATTCATGAAATTTTAGTTAATAGAGCAAATGAGGTTTGCAGCAACAACTTTGATTCGGAAATATAGTTTAACGTTTTAGCCGTATATAAAATAACAAAATTCTGTATAGACCACTTTTAAATTCCTGTTAACAATCATACCTCTATTTTAAGAGAGCTTACCGTAACTTTTGACATTGACTGCCATAACTTTTATGCTTTTAAGCCAACTAAAAATGCTGATTTGTTATTTTTATTTTAAAAATTGAAAAAGTTACACAAGACATCGAGATGCAAAATGTAAAGGAGATAACAAAAAAAAAAAATCACATTACTAAGGTAAATGAGATTAGACCTTTTGCCAGTAACTGACCATTTTAGAAGTAAAATTGTAAAAATAAGCCCTAATCTGACGGAACAATTTTAAAAAAGCAGAGAAAAACTATTCCCTTGCTAGTTGGCTGTAAACACGCAAACGCGGTAAACATTAGGCAGCTTTGAAAAACTGACAGTCAATATAAATATGCTACGTTCTGGTCTAATTTTTAAAGTTTTCTTTTACAATTTGATAAGGACATGTTGCAAATAAGAGTAATTTTAAAATGTAAGCACCTTTTATTTTCATATTAGATGATTATATTTTGAAATGGTATGTTTGGTACTAATTTAAAGTTATTTATCGTCAGTTTTCTGTCCATTGGTAGTCAGTAACGGTGATCAAGCAATGGATCAAAAATTTTCAAAAGTTTAATAACTGACTAGATGGTCAATTACTCAAAAAATCCTTTCTTTGTTTTAAATCCAAGTATTATTCATGTTTTATGTTTTTATTTTTAAACAAGAAAGAGCAACTAAAAAGCAAATAAAAAAAGAAGTGAAAACGAAAGAGAATAAAAGGGAAAAAAAAGTAAACAAAAAATTCAACAAACAGAAATGGTATGAAGAGTCAAATTCATCAATTTCCATTGCTGAGCTTAACAAAAATGAAGATTCTGACTGGTATAAAGAGACTTCTAATAAAGATACATTTACTTTGAAAAAGAATGACTTGTAATTGTAAAGTATGAATATATATATATATATATATATATATATATATATATATATATATATATATATATATATATATATATATAACGGAAAAAATACACAGAAAAATCCCTTTATACTAGAAATGAAAACTTATTTACCATTTCATTTGTAATAAAATTTTGTATTTGTGTTTTACCACTTCAAAATTTTGAATGTCTTTGTAATGTTATATTTACTAAAATAAAATAAAAATATTACCACTACATTTATTTTTCTTTTATTGAATTTATGCTGAATTACTAATACAAAGGAAGATCAAATACTAAACAAAAATTTTGTTTGTTTTATTTTTATACGATTTAAGTAACGTAAAATCATGCTTAAAAAACACAGCTACAAAAATATTGAAATATTGCTTAACAGTACGGTAAGTTTTCTGAACTATAAAGAAATATATAATTGGCAAACTATCTTAAAGAAATGACAGTCAGATAGAGATTTTTCTCGTAGGAGGTCAATTACATTTACCAATTTATGGTCTAGTAGAGTTTTAGTGAAAATACTAAATATAGATTTAAGACTATATATATATATATATATATATATATATATATATATATTATATATATATATATTAAGCATCTTCACTTTCAGCAAGGCTGCAAGCAACCACTATTAGAATTGTAAGTTACTGGAAGAGAAAAGATAAAGTTTATAAAGCAAGATAACAATTAAAATACGGCTAAAAAGATTGCAATTTATATGAATCAGAAAATGAATCAGAAATAGATGTCAATATGAATCAATATGAATCAATATGAATTAATATGAATTAATATGAATAAGAATCAATCAATATGAATCAATCAATATAAATCAGTTGATATGAATCAATATGAATTGGTCAATATGAATCAATATGAATCAGAAAATGAATCAGAAAACAAGATAAAAAGGAATGAATCCCAAAGAACTAATGTTTGAGGAAAAAAAACTAATAAAAATACAAATAAAAACTAATAAAAAGTGCTTATATAATAATAACATTTTTCTTTTTTTTTTTTTTTTTTCTTTTAGTTCTTTCCTAAGTTTAAGACCAATAATAGCAGAAGATCTAGTATTTTATAAATTGATTTTATTAATTTACCTGAAACTCATTAATTAATTTTATTTTATACCTGTTTAAATCCTGTTAATAAAGCAATTCTATGATAAGAAATTAAAAATTTATTATAATAATGATCTAACTGTATCCTTCAAAAATTATCAAAACATAACAATTCATCTGCAAACCAAATCAATTGGTTTGAGTGACAAATTCCTAAATATTTTTAATAAATTTCTGCTACTTATTAAGTATAGTGCTAATTGAGTATTTTAACCTCTAAGAAAACAGATTTTTTACTTTTTTTTATGTGTATGTATATACACATAAAAAAAGTAAAAACTGTAATGCAATGGCGATTCCTGGAATAAAATTGAGGAAGGTAGGGAGGGGGAGAATCTTTAAAAAATGCCAACTGCTTTCTAAAAAAAAGATTCTTAAAACTTTATAATATACCAAATGCCAACTAACCAACTGTATTACTGAAAAATCCGGCTATAAGTAAAAGTTGTCTTTTTTGGAGAGGTGTCACTCCCCCGCCACTCACACCTTCCAAAAATTGCCCCTGCTGCAATGTCCCACTTATGACTTAGCCATTTGTAGCTAGTTGATTTTGTTTAATATATATTTTACTAAACTGCTTAAGTTTTTGCTAAGAAGAGATTGTTTTTTTAACTTTTATAACAAAAAATATTAAAAGCGTTTGGAACACTAATGCCAGTTAGCACTAAATTCACCGCAAATATGTTCTTGCTAAGAAATGGCGTATTTCTAATAACAAGATACGTATAAAAAGTACAAGTATAAAAAAATATCTAATATTATTTAAACTGATACTTGTAGTGCTTCAACGTATCTTAAATTTTACTTGAAATATTATTTTTTAGAAGATGATGAATAAATTATTTTTGACGTACTGTATTGCCAATATCTGTATTGCCAACAGAATTGCTCTCAGATAAAACGTTAATGAAAAGAAAATATTGTTTTTTCCCTGGTTGAGCCGTTCAATTTGTCGAACAACAGTATTTATAATAATTGTTTTGCTAACTTTCTCAAAAGTTGATTCAAGTTCATGTATAATTGATAACCCTATTTTAGATAATTTATTAAGAAAATGTTGTCAATTGCTCATTTATTCGTTAAAAGAATCCAATTTTTAAGTTAACTGATCCGTGTCTCTAATTTTATTTACCATAACCAACAATATTGTTATGGCTGAGAATAGTGCTGCATCATTTTAAATTAATGCTTTGGCCTTCAGTTTTACAAACGTGAAAAATCCTTTCCAGTTATATCGTTTTTGGACTTAAGTTCAAACAGCAATTTGCAAATGCAACTTTTTAATTTTATATAACGTATAAATATTAGGTGCAAGTTTTTATATAGCAACTTTTGAGCATTGTGTACAAGATACAACACGGACTTTTGGAGACAGGTGATAATGGAAGTGTATTAAGAAACTTGTGAGTGTTTATTTATTTTTATGAAAAAAATTTATGACGGTAAACATCTTAACAGTTATAAGTATGATATTTATAAAATGCCGAAGCAGTATTTCGAAATGACGCAACACTATTATAAGCCTATACAATATTGTTGTTTATGGTGGATAACATTACAGACACGAATTTAGCAGTTAAATTAAACTGTAAATTAGTTAGTCTGTTTAGTAGTGTTTTCCTTCTCACTCATCACAACATAAAAGCGGCCCTATAAGTTTTTTTTTATCATCGTTGATTATGTTTGCGTTATCATCGTTGGTTATGTTTGCGCTATCGTCAGCGGTTATGTCTTTGTTATCGTTGTTGTCATTGTTAGTTTTACTTGCTGTCTTGTTATTGCTTATCACAATTGTTTAAAAACCTAATTTTCTCCATTACAGAAGCTCAATCAATAGTTATGTACACAATGTCTTCATATTAATTTAGTTCAACCTGTATCAATATTTTTTAAATTAGCTTGTAGCAATTTTTAGTAGCTAGTGAACCACTAGTTACCTTAATAAATATATTTAGGTAAGTTTCATCTGTTTTTATACGGAAATGGGAACGGGAAAGGGACAAAAAAATCAATCACGTGGGCATGCGTATTATAAGTTTTAATTTATCTAAAAGAAAACTACGCATGCTCACGTAATTTTTTTTTCCGTGAAAAAAAATTAGGTGAGCATGCTTAGTAATTTAAACTCCTCTTTAGACTTTACACGGCCATTAAAAAGTTGCGGCATAAACCAAATAATCTTTCCTAGGAAAAAAAGTTTTATAGAATTTTATATAAACTTTTGAAACATATTGCCTATAGAAATTCTATAGAATTCTATAGAATTTCTATAGAGTTTCTGTTAACCTCTATAAAAATTCCAATTGAAATTTTTTTTTTTCTACTTTTTTTTTATAGAAACATTAAAAGCCATTCTATAGAAATTCTAAAGAGTTTCTATAGGCCATATGTTTCAAATGTTTATAGAAAGTTCTATAAAAATTTTTTTCCTGGGTTATTACTAACGCAAAAGTTTTAAACCAAATAAAAAATTAGGTATAAAGTTTTTGCATGAGTACCAGGTTGTTCCATAAGCATCACGTAGATTTGAGATGAAAGCATCACGTAGATCTGAACTACACGTAGTGCTTTCATCACGTAGATCTGAACATATTTAAATATTTACAGGTGTTCAAAGTATTTTTTTACAAAAACGTACCGCAGTATTTTTTTACCATGGAAAAATTGAATATTGTGCGGTAATATATATATATTTTTTTGGAAGATGCAGCACCAAAATGTTTTTACGAACAATTGCTTAAAGTGTATAAGGACTCTTCACCTACAATTAGAATAGAAGAAAGATGGGTTGCTGAATTTAAACATGGTCGTACAAGTCTTGAAGATGATTCACGTGAAGGACGTCCAACAAGTGCATCAACACCAGAACTTGTAGTAAAAGTACATGATATGATTTTGGAAGATCTTTGATTAACCATTAGAGATTTAGCAGAAGCTCTAGGCATCTTATTTAGTAATGTAAACAATATTTTGGCTGAAGTTTTGGGTTTCAAAAAGCTGTGTGCACAATGAGTGCCATTTGGCATTCGCATTTGTTAACGATAGGGGAAAAAAAATTCAAATGCAACTTTTTAACAAAATTTTTTTCAATCTGCAAAATTTGCTAACGATTGAAAAAAAAAAACGCATTCAAATACAACTTTCTCAGCAACATTTCGAGCATTTTATAAAGCACAAAAGGTTCTTTCTGCCTCGTTTTATCACTATAGATGAGACTTAGGTCTACTTTAATAATTCTTAATCAAAACCCGAGGCTAAGGAGTGGTGTGAAACCGGTACTTTGGCTTCAAAGCAAGTTAGAGTTCAGAACTCCTCCAAGAGGTGTTAGCATCAGTTTTTTGTAATGCAGAGGGAATTTCGCTCGTGAATTACCTTCAAACTAGTAAAATAATAAGCTCAGATTATTATTATTGTTTTAACAGCCTTTTTTAACAGCTGGATATAAAAGTTTTTAAAAATATATATATTTTCATCAAGACAACGCACCGTCTCACACAGCTCAAAAAACCATCGCGAAAATCAGTGAATTAAAGTAAGAATTGTTTTAACATCCACCCTATTTGCCAGATTTGTCTCTGACTGACCTTTGGCTGTTCTTGTATCTTAAAATATTCTTTCGTGGATAAAAAATTTTCATCGAACGTAGAGGTAATAGCAGCCGTAAAAGAAAAAAGAAATTATACATAAACTGCGCAAATTTTACTCCGGCATAACTTTTTTTTATTCTCAATACTAAAATTCCGCTCTTGAGCCAACTAAATTCAAGTATTTTAATACCAAAAAATATTTTCGATATACAGTCATTCTCGGTATTGTTACAATCGGTATTAAGTGCACTAGTTCTAATATGTAAACAGATTTATTATTAAAAAACATAATACTACCTAATAAATTGAAAAATACCGCAAGAGATCTTCCATAAACTGCGCAACGCTAAATTTATTTAAAAATCAGAAGCAGAAAATATTAAGCTTTTTTACGATTCTCATTATACGTAAAACAATATTTTGATTTTTTATTTAAGACTCTGCAAGGAAGAACTTTTTATCTTTTTTGTTTTGTTTATCAGTGACGTTTAGCGTTGCGTAATTTATGGACAATCCCTAACTTTTTTTTATCTTCCAGATTTACTGCCAACATCTCACCGCCCCCTCCCTCCCTCCAAAAAAAAAGAGGTCTTGTACTTAAAGAAATCGCTAAAAATGCATTAATATAAATATGCTAGTTATGCTATACTTACTAGGATTTTAGTTTCAGTTTTTTATGTTATAAAAGTTTTAAAATTGAAAATAACTTTACCAATAAGCCCAATGAGATTGCCGGTCTCTTTAACTTCAAATGATCCGCAAGTTACAAAATAAATGGATGTTACTATCTCTTCTTGGTAAATAATTTTATCACCTGGAGAAGTACGTAATGTCCAAAAACATCTTGACAATGCTCTCAGAGCATTTTTACTCAAAAAACGAAAGGCTGGTTCATTCTTAAAGACGTTTTTGTGAATATGTAAGCACAGGTCAGACTGAAGGCTGAGAGGAAATTTACTCATAACCTAGAGTAGACATAATAACAACTTTCTTTATATATTTACTGTTAAATTTTAAAACTTATAAATATGCTAACCTATTAGTTTAAACACAGCCATAATATAATTTCCAAGTTATGCAAAATTGAAAATTTATGTATAAGTATAAACCTTCTCTTTCTCAGTCCCTTTTTTTACTACCCATGATGCAATAAAATAGTTTTCAGCACGTTTGCAAACTTTCTTTGGAATTTTATTTATAGCATTAAACTGACGAATTGTTCGAAGTTGTGAAGTGTACTCATTCTTTGTTTTACTCAGCTGAGATATTATATTGGTCACTTGTCCAAATATAAAAGCATACATTAAACCTAGTTAATATTATTAAAAACTAAAATGTTTATATTATTTATGAAAATAAATTTATTGTTCACTAATTACTATTATATATATAACAAAAATAGAATATATTTGATAAGAAAATAAAAAACTTTATACTCACAACCAAATACCATAGTAACCACGCCAAATATTCTTTCGGCAAATGTGTTCGGTGCAATGTTTCCGAAACCACATGTTGTTAAACTGCTCAATGTGTAATATAAAGCCGAAATATAAATAAAACCTTTTCGTTGAGTATTTACATCAAAATCATTCTGGAATGGCTCTGTATTTTCTATGTAAAGACAATAAACCCAACTATTTGTGTTTTGATTTTCAAGATCAAATGTCGCTATTAAAAACCTTAAAAAAAAACTATTTTCATTGAGCTTATATTGTTTTTATTTTGTTTTGTTTTTTTAAAAAAAATAGTTTACCATATGCAAGCCATCCAATGAGAACACAAGCAGAAGAATAGGATCCATATCACAAGAGTAATGACTCCATTTCCTAAGTATTGGGCAAGTATATTTTTAACTTTGACTAAGCGAACCAAACGAAACACCTTCACCACTCTTATGATTATGATTAATTTCTAAATTAACATTCGCTTTAAAAAATTAAAAAAAATTAAAGTTGGACAAAATTGTAAAATAAATGTGTAAAAATATAGCAATTCAAAAAAATAAAAAAATTAAAAACTGTTTTTACAAAACATTTTACCGATTTACTATTAATGTTTATGTAATCCAAAACGCCATACGGTAACGCAGAAATTATATCAAACGCGAACCATGTTTTTAAATACCTTAACTTAATTTTGTGAGCATTTGTTACTAAGTTACCACTTTTATCAACAAATGATGTGAAAAATGCTGCAGCGATGTCAATTATTACAAAAACATTACACACCAGATCAAAGACTGTCATAGCAATACTTTTATAATTAAAACAAGCATCAAATGGTATAATAACTGCAGTATAAACAAATGTTATTGTCAATATAAAATAATCCCAGGAGACTTTCTCTGTACATGAATGATTTATGATGTATTTTGGGAGTTTTTGTTTACATCCATAATCTGGTATAAATATTCTGTCATAGTAACTGACAAGCTAAAATAAATATTTCTTTATAAACAAATTTCGAAAACTTTTTGAAATCAATTAATACAACTACAGAGGTAAATAGTGGTCCAACCATAGTGCACAAAGTTAATTAGAAGTCACATCTTAATTTCAAATTTTTCGTCCAATTTAATTTGACATTTTTTTGTTTCAATTTTTGACAAATTCAACTATAGAAAGGTACACTGCTGAGCAGCGTGTTAAGATTTTTGAAGGCTTTTAAGTAAATGGGCATTCAAGTCAAAATGCATTTCGTACACATCGTGAGTTTTTTGGTCAGCAGGATCAACCAAATGGGTCCACAATCAGGAAATTTGCGCAAATTTCAGCAAATCAGGTCTGTAGGAAATGTGAAAACACTTGTGCATCCTCGCCAAGTTTGTACTGCAGAAAACATTGATCTTGTTTGCGATGGTGAGGCAGAAGAATCGTCAACTTCGACTCGCCTAACATCTTACGAACATCACTTATGCAAATTTTGAATAAAGATTTAAATTGACACGCTTATAAGCTTCAATTGACTCGAGAACTAAAGCCAGCTGACAACTTCAAGTGTTGTCAATACACAGTATGGTTGGTTGAATAGACAGAAGTGAATGGCGACTTAACAAACAAAATCATCTTCAGCTACGAGACAGAGTTTCAGCTCAGTGGTTTCGTTAACAAGCAGAATTGTCGCATTTGGAAAAATGATAATCCACGAGTGATTATTGAAAACCAAAGCTTTCATATAGAGTGACTGTTTTGTGCGGTTTATAGGCCGCCGGTGTCATCGGGCTGTACTTCTTTGAAAATGAGATTTGCCAAGAGGTTTCCGTGAATGGTGTTTGTTGTTGCAAGATGATAACGTACTTCTTGTGGCCAGAAATTGAGGATATGGACCTTGACAATATGTGGCTTTAACAGCATGGTGCCACCTGCCACATAGCCAACAAAACAATTGCTCTTCTGCATGAAAACTCAATAGCTTTGTTATTGTTTGAAAAACTATAACATCGCCTCGATGTTTGAAAAACTAACATCGAGCCGATGTTAGTTTTCCACCACGATTATGTAATTTGACAACGTTGGACTTCTTTCTCGGGGATATTTAAAAGAAAAAGCATATGTCAATAAGCAAAAAACCGTTCAAGAGCTTAGGATAAGATAATTTGGCACATTAACAATATTGACCTCAATTACGTCTTCAATTACGTCTAAAAAACATTGAAAATACGGAACATTGTATAGAGGTATGCCACCAAAGCTGTGGCAAGCATTTGGCAAAAATTTTATTACACAATTAAGTGTATAACAATTATGTGTGAAACAAAATTATCCTTCTATTGTAACAAAGTATGTTAGGATAATTCTTTGAAACTTTTTGTTTCATTTACAATAAAAGTTGTGCGTTATGGTTGGACCACCCTTTATTTCATTTACTTTAAAAAAAATCTTTTATACGTTATATACCACTGTATATGTACCGTGTACGCTAGAGCACCAAATAATACAAATAAAAATGGAAATAAAGCTCTCTCTCTGTTTGTTTATCTATTACAAATAGTTTAAAAAGAGTAAATTAAAACTAAAATTAGATGTACGCTAAAATACACGGTATCTACAGATTAAAATAAATTTAATATTACAGCTGGTAAAGATAATTCATTGAGGGTATTTGGGGATGTAACTTTGTGTGGAGTTTTATTTAAAATCTTTTTCACTGCTTTTTTCCACTTTCTTTTTGGCGATTCTGAAAAAAAAAATGAAAAAAAAGAGAAATAAATAATAAACGAAAAATAAATAATAAAGAAAATTATAAAAAAATTCTGATGTTTTATCGAAGGCTTACAATTTTTTTTTTTTCGCTTAGGAAAGTTTATATTTCTCTTTTGGTAAATTGTATAAAAATACATTTTTATCTTGAAATAAATATCAAATATGTATAATGTTTAAAAATATATAATGTTTTTAGTAGATATATATAATACACATTTATTATAAATATTACTAATATAATATACTTTATAATAAACATACTAATTTTCAATTAATTTATTAATATATGTATATTTATCCATTTATTCAATCAAAAATTGAAAAATTACAAATTTTATTATGATTTTTAGAAAGTAGGTTAGCTGTCAATCATTTAGTTAAAAACTAGTCAATGAAGTGACTAGTTTCCAAAACAAACAAACAAACAAAAAAATCAACAACAATGATAAATAAATACAAGCATAATTTTAATAAAAAAATATGAAACTAGTTGGTGTATATTATATGAAAGTATAAAATGTACAAACTAATGTTAATTATATAATAAAAATAATATTTATAATAAAATGCTTTTGCACGCCTTGAAGTAATGTCATTGTTGCTTGTTCCAAAACTATTGCTTTCATTAAATCAGTCGGAGTCTTCTATTTTGTCACAAGTAACAATTATTTGTGTTCTTTAGATCTTGTCTACCATTTTCTTGTTTGTTTTTTATATGCAATGTGCAAAATTGGACTCCTTTTTGTATGAAAATCTTAAGGGTCTGCAGTAAGCCGTGAATGATAACTTTTGACTTAATCAAACAAAAACCTTTTTATTAATGTTGTTAAATTCAGTCAAATCCAATAGGGCTAAAAAGATAAACAGTTCTTTACGTTTTAAACTGTTCATGTCAGGTTCTGATCAAAATTATATATGTAAATAAATGCTTTGGTTAGTAGTACCATCAAAGCCTTACAAGTAATTTTTTTTATTTCTTAGTTTTTCAATATCAAGTATCTCAGGATAGACTCCTGAACTGCACACATTCTTTGCAAATTATAAATCATGAAGCCTTTCAAAGGAGCTGAAGCTAAATAGTCTTCCACTTTTATATTTGCATGATAGCATTTTAACTTTGCATCATTGACATCATTCTTACTGGAGAAAATGTTATTTTCTTTCTCTAAGATTCCATTTCTAATCAATTGATAGGAAACTTTTGTGAAAAATGGCATTAATTATTAGGGCTAAAGCTTTGTCTGTTAAATATTTACTTGCTTTATCTGTATTTGAAATATTTAAAGCGTTCTTGGAAACAACAACATTAGACTTATCTCTTTTTTTCTTACTACTACTACAACAACTTACTACTACCATGAGTTACTAATTCTTGGTAGTTGTTAGGAATTAAATTAGGAGTTAAGCTATTAACAACTACCAAAAATATGTTGTTGCAAGCTATGCAAAGTAAGGTATCCATAACAACCAAATAAAAATATTACCGTCATAAGAAGTGTGAATCTCATTTTAATACATACGTCTAATATAGAGTATACACTGCAAACAAAAATCTGTTAAAAAAACGTTAATGTAAAAATAGGTTGTTGCTATGCGAAATTAGGTACCATAGCAACAAAATATAAATTCAGAATGGGGACATAGAGGAACAAGCAACCTACGGAAACTTAATTTAAGCATCATATAGCTCAAACAAATACTAGACAGCACATGTCAATATATGTCAATTATTAGTTGTAGTGCAGCAAAAAAATATTTTCTTAAAGTTTGTTTTTCGTTAATGTGTTTTTCAAAATATTATTTAGATAACATGCTATAAAAAATTTATACAAGAAAATGTTTCCAAATATTTCTGGATACTCTTAAACATCATGTATTTTGTGTTTCGAAAACACAGATGTAATTGAAATTTTACACAACGTTGACACTGCAACACAAAGTTGATACTAGCAACACAACGTTGATACTAGCAACACAACGTTGCAAAATTACTTATATGTAATTACAATTTTTTTTTTTTTTTTTTTCATTTTTAATATTCAAATGCTCAGAGTTCCCTGAACTTTTTTTAAATGAAATAAATTTCTCCTATTATATATAAAAACTAAATAAATTTTAGAGATTACACAACAAATATTTTTCCCATTTTGTCCACCTTGACCTTTTGGCCCCAATGACTTTAGGCTTACAGTAGATTTAAGTTTGTTTTTTGTTGATTTTTTTTTTAACTTTTTTTTTTTACAAAGAAATACTTTAAGAATCAAAAATACGCAGTAGCCGATTAAACGACTATAATCCGTTTAAGCTTTGTTTATTTTTAATTTATTTCATTTCTCAGGGTTTTGCAACATAATTGAAAACTCTGAATACTTTGTTTTAGTTTTATTAGGTTTATAGTTATTTAAACATTTAGTTTTATTAGGTTTATAGTTATTTAAACATAAAAATAATAATCTGATACAGGTTTTTCAAACCCTTATATAGTTTGCTCACTAGAAGAACTCACTACTTTTTAATTAGATATTGTATCACTTTACAGACATGATTTTGCAAGCTATTTTGTGTGAATAATTTTGTTTTGTATTAATCTAGCCTATGTTATATTAGCTAATGAGAGATGACTATGAATTAGCATATGAGAAATGATTATGGATTAAAGTTTTCGTGAACTATAATTAAAAAATGAGCAAGATTTATATAAAATGCAAATAATGTTTTTGATTCAATGTGGCCAATATGGTTTCTTAATGACAAATTTTCATCTATTTGCACAACAAGAAAACATTATTATGTGATAAATAATTGGAGTTTTTAATAGAAAATTTATTCATTGACCTATTTTAATAGATAAAATCTAATTAGTTTTTTTACAATTTGAAGGAACTTTGTTTTCTCTACACTATTAGTTAAAGTTTTCCAGTTATAGATAAATTTTACAAGCATCGATCTTAAATTTATGTGATCAGCATACATATTTGAAGATACTTTAGATAACGCCTTATACATATCTTAAAGCATAAATGAGTAAAAAATTACTCAAGTAATTTTTTACCCATTTATACATTAGACCTTCGATACCATAATGTTTTAGCTTTGATAAAAAGGTGCCGTGAGCCACTCTATCAAATGCCTTTAAAAAGTAATAATAGCAATAAATACCCCCAGTACCTGTTGCCTTTATCAAAAAGTTTTGTTTTTATCAAAATATTTTGTTTTTGAGTTTAATGACAGCATGCTCAGTTAACTTTTTTGAAAATCAATTTTTTTTTTATATAAGAGTTTATTAAAAGGTTTAGTATGTATATACTCTATTATTGCTTGCCTTTTTTATCAATTTTAAAAAACACAGTTAAAATTGATATTAGACAGTAATTAGACATGATATTGCAATCACCATTTTTATTCACAGGATTGACTTATTAATTTATAAGGAAAAGAGCTATGCTCGAGAAGATGAGGTTAATAAATAAAAAAATTTTGATTCATTCAATTGCGCGGATTGTTATATTACAAATAGTACCATCATATCCGCACGACTAGTTTTGCTTGAGTTCAGTTAGTACCTCTTTAAATTCGTTTTAAGATATTTGCTTATTTGATATAGAAAATGGGAATCGTTTATAAATTACGCAAGGCTAAACATATTTAAAAATAGAAGTAGGAGATCATTAGCTCTTGTGAGCAGCAATTTTCATTAGAACTAAAATATAACTTTTTATTTTTGGCTTTTAAGTTAAAGACTCTGCGAGGGAAAACGTTTGATCTTTTTTGTTTATTAATTAAATTAGCGGTTACGTAGTTTATGTACGATCCCCTTTGAGTTTGTCTCCAATAAAGTTTTGAAGTTTCTTAATTGATTTCTTTATTTTTGAAAGTAAACTGGGTTCAACATTTACATAGTATATGTTGAGTTCATGGTTTATATCTGCTTCCTATTAATGTACTTTTTATTTCAAGGTATAAAATTAGAATATATATGGTTATGAGCCAGCTACAGATTTTTTTATGTTTTGTATTTAAAATCTTTTTAAAAGTAATCTTAAAATCATCAAATGCCAAAAAAGGATTCATTAGTAAGATTTCCTAAAGGTCTTCAAATAGTTTATTTCAAAAATTATCGAGTACTTTTTTTTTTTTTTTTACCTAGATTTCTTTTAGTGACCAAGCGTTTTTAGTTTCATTGTTACATTGAACTTCAATTTTTTTTTAAAAATATGAATGAAGATACCATATTTATATTATAAATAAATAAAATTAGAAGTTAGAAAGAATTATATAGAGAAAACAAAATATAAAAAGACGGTTACGAAACTTTGCATAATGATAAATTTGTAATTCTAATTTGATAAAATGTCATAAGGATATACTCTTAAGAATATAGGCCGAAAACTGTTTATTTGATTTATGTTTTATTAAGATTTTTAAGTAATTAAATTAAAAAATAGAGATTTTTCGCGGTTTTTAAAAGCAATGTTATACATTACGGGGCTTAGTGAAAAGACAATTAAAGTCTTCTTTTTGCTTGTGTCATGTAAATTTTTATTTATTTATTTTGCTATTGTAATTATTGTCAAACGGCGAAATATATATATATATATATATATATATATATATATATATATATATATATATATATATATATATATATATATATATATATATATATATATATATATATATATATATATATTTATATATATATATATATATATATATATATATATATATATATATATATATATATATATATATATATATTTATTTATATATATATTAAATATATATTTAATAAATATATATATTAAATATATATTTATTATTATTATTGTTATTGTTATTATTAGCCATACGCCAAAATATTTACCTGTTAAAGGTGCTTTAATATAACTGATATCATGAAAGAATATTGCTAAAAGAGAGACAACCTTGTTTGAATTTTTCACTGGTAATAGTGAGACGAGGTACCATTTTTTAAAGCCTTGAATAGAATTTAGCATAAAATGAAACTAAAACTTTTTTTTCTGTTTCAAAATAAGATTTTTTAATGATCTAAATTTTACCTGCTACATTATAAAGTATCATTTCAATCTGAGTTTTTGATTTTGAAAGAACAGCATTTTTCAAAGTTTCTTGAGAAGATAAAGATGTAAGGTTTCCACACAAAAAATATAGAAAAGCATCTTTTCTTGTTACTTCGCTCCTTGTAAAACCAGTTTCGCGAGAAAATGATTGGCTGCAGTATATTATAGGATTTCTTTGAAGAAGAGCGTTAGCAATGACAAATGAAGCACCTTTAAAATATGCGTTTAAATTAAAAAACAATATTTAACCCAAAAAATGCCAACATAAAACATAAAAGTAATATAATTTAAACATAAATATATTTTTTGTATATCTATTTACTTTTAAAAACTTTTACCTGAACTTTTTGCGTAATCAAGAAGACTTTCTAAAACTCTGTTCTCTAAAGTATCAGCCATAAAGTCTATTTTGAAATACAATGTTCCACTTAAAAGACAAACTATAAACAAGTTTTTAAAAGAAAGAATTACATTTGATAGGGCTTAATATAATTAGGCTTGTTAACATTTAAGTTTACATTTGGTCACCGTGGTTACATGTTGATACGTGTATCGTGTTAGTTAATTTTTTATAAATAAGTCTTTTTACTTTTAGAAAATTACGTTATAAGGTAAGACAACTTTATAAATAATGTTTAAGATTACACCGAATTTGTGTTAATAAGCTCTTTCGCGGGCCGTTGTATTTAGATACATAACAAAATAAAATAAAAAAATAGTGCTTCAAATAACGTATGAATGAGCGTACCCCCTACGCCCTTCTTTGAAAAACGTGTGTCTTGTGCGTCTTAGTTAAGAAAAGTGTTTTACATTTTTTAAATATTAAATTTAGATGTTATTAAACTATTGAAGCAAAATATTCAAACTTTATTTATATAACTTATACATTTTGGCGTAAGCTTTAATCCTTTTAATGTATACGCTTTTTAAATTTAATAAACTTTTATAAATGTTAATTAAATGTTTACAGTATTGACTTATGTTTACAGTATTGACTTATGTTAGTCAATATTGTAAACGTTCAACCAATGCTAAATAAACGTTTACATCAAAATGTTTGAAATATACGCATTTTTCCTTCTTTTCTCATCGGAATTGCTTTCTAAATGCAGGCACGAAAAAAGTTTCTTCTAAAAAAACTATAAAAAAAAGTGAGCTCAAAAGTAGTTATATTAAACCCCCCTTTAAAAATATTTAAAAAAAAAAAAAAAAAAAAACAGAAATAAACAATTGTAAAGAATTCTTTTTGTAATAGTGTCAACATATTCCAAAAATGTTTTTTTTTTTTGTTTCACACTATTTATACAAATAGCGTGACAAATAAAAATTTAGTTTTGTGCTCTCCAAAGCTAGGACCATGGTCAATCTAGTTAAACGTTTTGTAGTGTTAGCATTTAGCCGTTGATATTAAGTTGCAGTTAATATCAGTGATACTAAGTTAGTGATCAATGATACTAAATTAGTGATCAATGATACTAAATTGTACCTAATCTCAATATTATTGCACATTGATATTAAGTTGCAAAATTCAGCCATTGATATTAGGTTGCAAAAACGTTTTTTTATGTAACGTTTGTTTATTGATCCAGGTAAACATAAAATGTCTTCGTGGAAACAATTACGTTTTATTCCACTAAGGGTTTCTTAAGCCTCAGATGTAAAACCATTTTGATAGGACAATTTAATTGAAAATTACCATATTATATATGCATTAAAGGTATTTGAAATAAAGTTTATTATCAAAAGTGTTTTCAACTCACATTGTCACCCCATAAGCAATGTGAAATGTAAGTAATATTCATTTTTAATATAGACAATATGTAATAACTTTTGACATAAAATAATTAACCATATAATATAAATAAAACATTTAAGCAAAAGAAAAACGTTTTTCGTCAACGATTGCAGAAAATAAGATTGCTGAAGATAATTGCGCAAGTGGCATGTCACAGGTGCCTATCGGGTCACAGGTGGCTATCATGTCACAGGTGGCTATCATGTTACAGTTGGCTATCACGTCACAGTTGGATCAAGTTTTAGAAAAAAACTAAAAGGCTAATTGAAGAATAGGTTTAACTGTGTTTTAAATTGAACAGATTTTTATAAAAAATTTCTGGGTCTGAAGATTTGTGCTTGAAAATTAACAATACAAAAAATTCTTTTTACAAAAAAATAAATTGGTCATATTTAAAATATTTTTAATATTTTTAACCTAAGTATTTCAAAATTCTGTTACACTTTAACATAACTCTTCTTAAAAGATTCTCCTGGAATTTTAGTCGGCATATAGAAAAACTTCAAATTAAGAAAATTTACGTAACATTGTATATTGGACTATATTCAAAATTTAATACCTCCTGCTTCAGGAGATTTTACTTTTTTGTGATTTACATTCTTTTTTAGAGGTTTTGTCATTTTTCTTCAGTTTCTTAGCCCTTAACCTTTGACAATGCAATTTTTTATGATTAAGTTTAGAGATCGACAATTTAATGTGTATTTTATTTATGTTGATAAATCTGTTTACTGTAAAACATTCTTGGCCATGTAATATTAGTTATTTTTATGAAAAGTTCGTCATATTTTTTGGCGTCATTTTGGTTTTGGCTTGTTTATTAGAATTGTAAACTTATCAATTCCGGAATGAATCCTCATTATGTATAATGTTCATAGTTTCCATTTTTGTTGATTAATTTAGAGATGCAAAGATAAAAAAAACCTCTGCATCTCTAAGTTAATCAAATTAGAAATTAAAATATTCACTGTTTGAACAAACAATAAAAATTTCAAAAAGTCTTTGCTTTTTGCTTGTGTTTTCAATTGTTACTAAAGTCGTATGGCAACAAGTTAGGCAATTCTAAACGCTAACAGCATCAAACGATCAATAATTCTATATTCTGTCACATCTTCTTTTTTAATTTTGGTGTATTATTTTTGAGTTGAGTTGGTTGACTGCTTCAATCTTGAAAAGAGAATAATGTCAAAAGTGTAGGTTTGAGTATTTGTAAGAGATTCAATAATTTTACTTAAAGAGGAAAATTTACAACATTTACACTTACACTGTTACATAAAACATTTCTTTTAAAAATCTCCTTTTTTTTAGTCGTTTATTTCTTATTTTAATTCTATCTAGCTTAATTATTTTTAAAAAAATGGAATAGTAAAGTTTCTAGCAAGGAAAGGCGATTGAAATTGAGCTACAAATCAACAAAAACGAACTTTTTTTCGTTTTTTTTTTTTTTTTTTTAAACAAAAATTTATCAAAAGCAATGTATTATTAAGTGGCACACAACTGAAAGCAAGTTTATAAAATTGCAACTTAAAAAAAAATGCAAAGTTTTTATATTTATGGCGCTCTGTAGGTAAAAGCTTTCTAAAATTCGTCCACGTTTATTTGTCAACTAGTAATTGTTAACCAGTTTTAATTTATATTTTTAAAACATTCTAGGGAGAGATGGTATGCCGTTTAGGCTAATCTTTTGCATTAAAGAATATTATGCTTTACTGTATTAAAAACTTTCAAAATAAAAATATATCTGCTTCCAATAGCAATAAATTAATTATAAAAAAAATGTTTGAGAATTAACCATCAAAAGTCGAATTCACGCACGAACAATTTCGCAATAAATTTTTAATGTTAATGAATCAAATTACAAAAAATTTAAAAAATCAATACCAATAAAACATTTACAACGTTTTTTTCTTCAAAATTTACCTTGTGTAAAATAGTTACTGAAACGTTAGAAAATACGGCTAATTCTTAACAAAATAGTTACTGAAAACGTTTGAAAATATGGCAAATTCTCAACAAAATAGTTACTGAAAACATTTGAAAATATGGCGAATTCTCAACAAAATAAGTTTTTGGAAACTATCATTCTTAAAGCTACGGAAATCGGTTAGAAAAAAAAAATTATAGTATATTTAAGATAGCAATAAGGAAAGTTCAAAGAGGCCAATTGTATTTTCTTTCAAATTCTTTTTTTAGTTTTACTTCTTCTCTGTTTTAAATGTGTTAATAATAATTGTTTTTAGGAGGTATTTTCATTATTGCAAACGCTTTGAAAAATACCCATCCTATCATCTATTGCAGTGAGAATTTTTCTCTACAAACTGGGTTTACAAGAAGTGAAGTTACTAGAAAAGATGTATATTTAGAGTTTTTACATGGTAAAAAAACAGACCCTGCAACAAAAAAATGCTATATGAATGGCGTATTGTCAAAATCTAACACAAAAGTTCAACTAATTCTGTATAACGCATACGGTAAGGTCGGAATTTTAATAAAAAACTAAATAAATATAAAACAAAATTTATAAACTTTTTTATTATTAGGATTTAAAAGATGGTTTTTAATTTCGCTAATACCAGTCAAAAATAACAACGGTATCGTGTGTTTGTTTCTGGTATTTTTTCATGATATTACTCATACAAAACCGCCTATAAAAGGTATTTTTCAATCTTAATTGTTATTTAACACTATTTTTTATTTAAAAAATACAGAAACAAAAAAACGAAAAACAAAAAAAAGTGATAAAAAATTAAACATAAAAAAAAATCAAGGTAAACATTTCCAAGCGATTTTATAATAAAACATTCACCTTTTTATTAACATCTAAAAAAGATGTCGTCATTATTTTAAAAAAAGTAAATCCTCTTTAGTATCTAAGAAAAGATTTCGTTTTTTTTTCTAGACTTTTAAATTAAATGTTTCATACAAAGTTTACCACGGAATAAAAATAAATAAATAAAAGATGTTAAAAAAAAACATTCCTTCGGACACATATATATAACGACTAATATATAAGTCCTTGTATATCTGTGCACCCTGGAATGTTTTTAATTTACATTTTTACAATGTTACATTTTTAATTTATTTATGAGCACACTGTCATTGTCCATCTTTGCATGGGCTTATGAGTTCTTTAGAACATGTATTCGGATGTCATACGGATTTGCGGTGTCTATAGATATTGTGCCCATAAATAATTTAAAAATGTATCACCACAAAAACATTTACAAAACTATAAAGAAACAAATAGTTTCCTTTTTAGAATAAATATTTATTGAAGTCAAATAAGTTAACTTTATTTTTAAATATTAAAATATTTTTTGCATGCACAGCTTCCGAGGTCATATTATTCCATATGTTAGCAACTCGGTAAGAAACTATATTTATTGAATCTAAGCGACAAATTTGTTTGCGTATTTTATAAGTATGATCCCAGGTGCAGCTTTTTCTGTCAATTACAAAGAACATTATTTTGTACAAAACCAGTTTGTGAAAAATTTTAAAACATGTTTTAAATGCACTTTTAAGGCGCCGAACTACAAGTAATTCCAAACCAAGCAACTGCCGATTGAAATGTATGGTATGCATAGGTATATCTTATGTTACAAGCAATATTAAGTAATGGGTACTTTATTGAAAAACTAGCATAAACGCAAACAGCGTACAACTGTTGTACAAATTTTTACTACCATACAATGTTTATAAAGATATCCAATTTTGCCTGACGCAGTGGTAGCCCGGACTATGCGCATTAAAATTGTTCTTGGTGTGAAGGAAGTCTACCATTCAAATCAAAGCTTTTAATATGGATAGACACAACATTTCAAAAACTAGACTTGTTTGTAGAAACAACTTTGAGCTTTACTCAGCTTGCCAAACAAGAAGTTTACAGACTTTGGATATAGAAACTTTTTCAAAACGGTCAAAGATCATGTAGAAACTGTTTACAAAACATCACAATACAAAAATGTAAACAAAGTTTTTTCACAATTCTTTAAACTAGTTACGGTCAGTGAAGCATTTTGTGGAATTTTCACTCGATCAAGTGTAGAAAAGTGTAATTACCTGCGCCAGTAAAATTAGATAACACCGACATGGTTAATATAAGCTCAGTATATATCTGTCCACAACAGAACCAGTTGTTAGAACATCTTCATCTTTTGAAATATTTTCACGCAAAACATGAGAAAAGTGAATAAAAAAAAAAAATGAAAATGAAAATGAGTTAAAAGAAAATTGGTGAAATATCTTAAATCGGATGAATCTTGTGCACGAATAAAACAAATGACAATAAATAAATTCAAGAAATGACACTTGATGCAGAAAGTTAAAATTGAAAGGTGATAATCTTGGATAATACAGGTGAGAACCAGACCTCAGGACGTACAAATGTATAAATTATATTTTTGTTTCAGAAGTTAAACTAAATACCAAAAGATTTTCACAAATTACTTAAAAAAAAAAGGATTACTATCACAGACTTGGACGAAATAATTCATCGAGTCACTAATGCATTGCAAACCTAAAGCGTTTGTATTATTTCTGAGGTATTGGGTATGTGAAAGCAACTTTTTATTATAAAGTTGATTTTTTATGTTTTTAAGTAAACACGATCAAAGTTTTTTTATATTGTCAATTTTTATATTGTCACTTTTAAAACTAACTTGTCAAGTTTTATATTGTCACTTTTAAAACTAAATTGTCAAGTTATATATAGTCACTTTTAAAACTAAATTGGCGTTTTTTAAATTATATTTTTTGTTATATTTTCAGGGCTGTTTTACAAGTTTTTTATATTGCTATTTTTTAAGAGGAAATTGTAGGCTAGCACTGGTATATATTCAAAATAATTTCAGTTACATATCTATACATGGATATATACACACACTTGGAGCACACTCCAAATATTTTTTTATACTTGTCAAATTATATTAATTTAATTATAATAAATTTAAATTGAATTAAATATATATGTCATATAATGATGCTTTTTAAAAAATTGCAATGATTAAAGGCTGGAAACAAAAAAGCCCTATAATTTCGTCCAACCACCCCCTCCTCATACCCCAAACAATTTAGAGGGCAACAAGTAAAATATAAATTGATAAAATCTCCTCATACCCCAAACAATTTAAAAGGGCAACAAGTAAAATATAAATTGATAAAATATTTATACTGTTCTTAACTAAACTTATTTTCATTGATAATTTTTGTTTTATGTATCTCTATAATACTTACAACAGTAAATAAAAATAACTGTGAAACAATTATAACTGTAAATAAAATAACTGTGAAACAATTATAACTGTAAATAAAATAACTGTGAAACAATTATAACTGTAAAAAAAAATAACTGTGAAACAATTATAACTGTAAAAAAAAATAACTGTGAAACAATTATAACTGTAAAAAAAAATAACTGTATTTATTACCAAAACAAGAATTTTAATTTTCAGTGCATTTTTTTCCAATGTTGTAATTTATTATATACATAATATTTCATTTCGTTTGGAATTGCTAAACTAACAATAGCTTAAATCTTAAAACTAACAATAGCTTAAATCTTAAAACTAACAATAGCTTAAATCTTAAAACTAACAATAGCTTAAATCTTAAAACTAACAATAGCTTAAAACTTAAAACTAACAATAGCTTAAATCTTAAAACTAACAATAGCTTAAATCTTAAAACTAACAATTGCTTAAATCTTAAATCTTAAAACTTGTGCAAACAAATGATCTGATCAATCTGATTAAAACGTCAACTTTTAAACTTAAAAATAGTTACGGTATTTTGCAGAATATAGATATGGTATTTTGCAGAATTTAATTATGGTACTTAGCAGAATTAAGATGTTTTTTTTTTTTTTTTGTCAAATTTTATATAATTAACTGTATGTATTGATACTTGTTATTGTAGAATCTCCTAAAAAAAAATGGAAAAGAGCCATTAAAATGATTTTAAAGAAAAAAGTTGTGCCAAATTATACAAGTTGCAACAAAGTTGAAATGTCACTTTCAAAGGTGCTTTTTAATTATTATTCATTTAAGTTTAAATGTCACTTTTACAGGGGCTTTATAAATCTTTTTTCTAAAGTTTTAAACTAAATGTGTTTCTTAAAAGTATATTTTTTCTCTTGTAGATTTGTAATTTTTACAACAAAATTTATATACCAGATTATAAAAATCAACTCTATATACCAAAGTGGATAATATATCACCTCCATCCTATAAAGGTTATTTGGGATTTTATAATGTTAGCATTAACTGTGGTATTCAACGCCGTTATAATCCCATTTGCTGAATCCTTTGACTACAGAAATAAAGCCATTGATAACTTTAGTATTTTTACTTACGTCGTGTATACAATCGATATTGTTATGGTATTTTTTACATCAGTTGAAAAAGATGGTGTACTTGTAACTAATCATAAAAAACTAAGAAAATACTATCTTAGAAGCTGGTTTTTGTTTGATATAGTTTCTTCATTTCCATATGACTTGTTTAGTGTTAGTAAAAAGGTGACTTTTTGCTTTCTTTTTTAAAAATTCTTTTATTTTTGCACTTTAATTTAACTTATGAGGTTAAAAATTTAATTACACACTTTATCATGAAGTCACAAATTCAACTATTCAAAAATAATAAATATTTTGTTGATTTCGATCAAAACTTTTTAAAATTAAGTCGAAGATTTTGAAACATTTCAACAGAATGTTTTGTTGAGTATTGAATTAGACTATAAATGATTCAATTTAGTTACAATAAAGTTTATTTATTTTTATTTAGAATGTACTAATTGTTATCAAACTGTTAAAGATTATTCGTATTATGCGCTTAATTAAAGTTAGCCAAGTTATATTAGACTTAATAGGCCATAGTTTCACTACTCTCATGGGTTGGTTCATGCTATTTTGTTTATGCGGTCATTGGATGGCTTGCGTTTGGTAATTATATTTTAAGTATTTATTTCTGTGAAAAAGTTTTAAATTGAATTACTTTGTACAACTGTAGCTAATTTTGAATAATGCGATATCAACAACGCAGCTTTCTAGCAATTTTTAAGTATTGTTATACTAGTATTTATTTTTTGAATTTCACTTTAAATAATTATCAGTTTAAATTTTGCGCATATTTGCTTCTTTTCTTATTATCTTCACTATTGTGAAGTAAGGTTCGATGACTCGTTGCTTAGAACAGTTCGGTAGAAAAGCATTCTTTGTAGCAGCATTGACCATACTAATCCTTTAATTTTTTTAAATATTGAATTGAAATATTGCAAGATTTAGCCATAATTATGTTTGTCGTTTATGTTTTTTTAGAGAGAAGAAGAAATCTTCTTCCCAATCACTCAGTCGCGTATAGATCTAATTTCAAAATTTGTCTTGTTATGAAAGAAGGGTTTTAAAATCATAAATCCAAACAACCTGTGATTAAATCTATAAGACGCTTTACAACGTTTTGACTAGTGCTTCCAATACCGATACCATTTTTCAATACCGGTATATCGGTACTAAATAATTACAATACCGGTAATACCGGTATAATACCGGTATTAAACTTTATTTTTAAATTTATCATAACCTAAATAAAATCTCAAGTTAATAGTAAAAGTTTTATTGATTCAATCAGCTTATTTATTTTATATCAAAACTACTGACTTTCTCATTTTTCGCTTTTTTCTGCTTTGTAAAATGAGCCCGTAAAAAACATAGGGCGTTCAAAACATCATCTTCAAAAGATCATCTAATTTTGTTGGCTTCACAGTTTTCAAGTAATGGTAGGAATTTTGCAAATATATACAACGATTTCCTCCTTCTTCAAAAATTCCTTTTTCAATACATATAATTTTTGATGAATTATTCGAAACATTCAATTTTCCCTTGTTGTTACATTTCTTATTTTTCAAAATTGCAAAGTCAAGCTTTTTTTTCAATGACAAGTTTACAGCGTTGTCCACAGAATCACTATCGGAAAAAACGCTGGTGAAAGGGAGAGGACTATACCCTTTCTGATTGAGCCGATCTTTCATTCGAGTATTGGTATTTACAATGGCTAATTTTCTATGGTGCTCAAAAGATAGAGCTAGATCCAAATTCTTGTAACGTTGATGTCCCTTGTGCAAAAAATGTTGTATGCTGGAAAAAGAGTACGTTGCTCATTGAATTATTGCACCAACGTAACTTTACAGCGAAATCGATTTCTCAAAGGATATCTATCATGAAAATGTTGTATCGGCACACAACAGAGTTGCATGATTTTAGCACAATGTTTCCACAGCCAGTTTTACTGGCGCAAGACATAAGTTAACAGCTAATATTGCATCGGACTCATTATTAGTTACCTCAACTTTGGACTCAAGGGCAAAAAGTGACTTGTGAATGCATTTTTTCAATTATACAAAACGTTCGAGTACTGTGTGCAAGCTAACCCAGCTATTTTTGAATCCAAGTATTAGTGGAATACCTTTATCAAATTTTTCTAACGTGCGTTTTTGAATTTTGATCAATTTTTGTTGGAGAACGGCGAAATAAAAATTTCACAACGGTGCGCACCTTTTTGATTAACGGCTGCAAATCATCAGTCAGTTCAATAGAGTCATTCTCTTCACTCATTACAACTTGAAACCCGCCGGAAAAGTCTTCATCATTATTGGTTATGTTTGTGTCATCAGTATTTCCTCGTCACTTTCTCTGTTATTGCATATTACTTTCAAGTTTTTTTTGCAGAAATTGACGATTTTTTTATACAAAATATCTTGAATACCTAGTTGAATTCCATTCCTAATGCACAACTGTTGATCACAGTTACTTAAACGCCCCACTTTCTACATTACCGAAACTTTTCATATTTACGTTAGTGCAAAATTCAAATATGCGTTCTACATTAAAGCGAGTGACGTAATGATAATATTTTAAATTGGTGCTTCATTATTTAATGAAAACACGAAAGTAAATGGAATACTTAAAACTTCCAGTCACGATCAAATAACGCTTCCGGTAAGAAAAAGATGGCTAGATGACAAAAGACGTGTTTAAATCGTCTAAAACAAGTATTCTACGTATTTTATACGTCTTAAACGCTAGCTGTTCGCTGGCTAGTTGCTCGCTCATTTCCTAACAAACCTAGTGGGAAATGAGCTGGCAACTAGATATTAAGTATAAAGTACGTAGAATACTTGTTTTAGACAATTTTAACACGTCTTTTCTCATTTAGCTATCTTTTTCCTACCGGAAGCGTTGTTGAAAGTTTTAAGTATTTCATTTACTTTAGTGTTTCACGTAAAGTAAATGAACGGGGACGGGGAGGCACGTGCCCCTACCCATCTTTAAAAGAAACTATATATGTAGAGGACTTTTTTTTAAATTGACAATTGTCCCCCTGCACTTCGAAACCCATGTCGTCTGCTTTTGTCGTCATTGCTTTTTAATAGGCAAGATGGTACAAGAATCTTCGAGAATTGTGATTTTGTGTTAACTTCGTGATTACTGTTTAGATTTATTATACAAGGTGCCCGTTTCTGCAAAGTTTCTAACTTAACAGTTTAGGATTTTGGTAGGTTGAGGCAAAGATTTCCACATTAGGTCAAAACGAGTGTTATAGTTGACTGGAAAATGCGTTACACTGCAAGAAGTGTTAAACAATATCTAATTTTCTTTGGTAATCTTAATCTGTCACATGCCTTTTTATAAACATTGTTAAAATAAATACTCACATTAAATTACGACTTTTGTCAGTAAGACTTTTGATTTAAGAGTTTTGGTACTTCTCATGGAAATAACAAAATGAGTACATAAGTGAGTTTGCTCCATTGTTGAAGTATGATATTTTTAAAAATTTCAAATAATTTTTTCCTCCAATTTAATTGGTGCAAAGAAGGTAAGAAAAAATTTGCTTCTTGAACTAAATTTCTGATTTCTAGCTCATCTGTAATTTCTGTATAAACTTATTACCCAGTTGACCCATCAGAATGTTGTACTTATAGCAGCTGCAACATCGCTTTATGTACATCATTTTATGGAAGATATAAAAAACTATATTTGCATTTTGCTTTACTTTGTTATTGAGATTTGCTTATCTCGTTATGTAATAAAAGCTTCTTAAGAAAAGAATAACATAGTTCAACATTTTTATTATCAACCAGATATTGGAACATCTTTTCTACTAACATCCTTCGACAGGTATGTTTCACTAGCAGACTATAGTTCATATGAAATTGATGCTGAAAAAGTGGTAACATTTTTTTCTTTTTTTTTATATGTAAATAAACCATCAAATGTCATTGTAGGTGTGCCGAGTTGATTATTATTCTCCTTCGTTAATGTAGTAATAAAATCTTTTTTCAACCATTCATAATTCTTCCTAATAAACTTTTTGTTAGTTCGTTACTCCGTGAAATTTTAGATCTTGTTCATTTATAATGTTTTCAAATATGGTATCTTTGTTTTTATGTATTGACAGAATGTTGAGTCCAATAAATGTATTAACTTTATTTCTTGTAATACTTATTAAGCCTAAAAAACAAAAACCGTCATTTAACATGTAAGATAAGTAACCTCTATGTGTCTATATGTTAGATTTTTATTAGATACAAGAACTCAAGTAAACTAAAGTGGCGCTAGATTTATAAAGTTATTAAAGTAAACATATACAGGTTTCAAAAAATCTATATATATATCTATATATAAAAATCTATAGGTATAAGAGCTGGATGTAGTAAGAAAAAAATATAGGATCATTTGAAAGCAAGTTATAGAAAAAATTATAACTTTATTTAAAATTGCTATAAAACTTTTAATTACTCACCATATTAGTTTTTAAATATTGGGTCATCTGAAAATAAAAGGTCATCATAATTAAAATATAGAGTCATCATAAAATATAGAGGCATCTGCTTATCATGGATACCTAGCTTAAAGCAAAAGTATTTTCTTTCTTTGCTTCAAAACAAATTATTGGCAAAGTCCAAACTTAAACATCTATTGTTGTAGTAATAAATAAATAGGCTCATGAATTGATGCAAGTATACGCGATAGGGCTGAATATCAGCATATGGAAAATATTTTGTAACTTTATGGTTTGAAGGAGTCTTCAAACTGTTTGAAAACTCATTTAAATTAATAATATGACAAAAGTGTTAGTTTAAAAGAATTTGCCCAATAATCCTACTCAGCGTATGTTAAATGGGTTGCATAATTGTTACTTAGTCTAGATTCAGACTAAATCCAGTTCATAAAATTGCAATGGGTGTAAAATGATTGTAACTGAAATAAAACATGGTTGTTAAAGTGTATGAGTGCATATACCTTTTACTTAAATTTAAAAGCTATGCATGCTTATAGAGGTGCTTAATTGCTGCTATGCCCCTAGCGTCATGACAACTCTCTGCGGCCCAAAACATTATGCATAAAATTCGTTTTTTTTTTTGTTTTTAATTTTAAACCAAAATACTTCAAATAAATAAATATGAGCTAAAAACTTTGTAATTATTGAATTTCTTCTTTGACATTACCTTATGAAATACAAAACATTTACTGCTTATAGCTTCTGAAAAGGGGGCAAAAGGATGCTTAAGTGATTAAAAAAATTTGAAATTAAAAAATAAAGTAAATTGTCCCTTCATTTTTTAGAGTACTTTTGCTTCTTCTTCTTTTTTATAAAAGCGTATTAAAAAAATTAAAAGTGCGCTACTGAATTAGTCATCCATGTTTTTTTCTTTTTATAGGTATGTGATAGCTTCGAATATTGATGTTCCTGCAGTAAACAACAATAGTTGGTTAATTAGCCTAATGAGTGAGTATTTATATTTATTAAATTTGTAAAAATCATTTAGAGTTTTAAAAAGAATTTTTTTCTAATTATCACAAATACTGTTTTTCTTTTTCATATATATATATATATATATATATATATATATATATATATATATATATATATATATATATATATATATATATATATATATATATATATATATATATGTATATATATATATATATATATATATATATATATATATATCGAAATATATATATATATATAAATATATATATATATTTATAAATACTGTTTTTCTTTTTCATGTATATATATATATATATATATATATATATATATATATATATATATATATAGAAATATATATATATATATATATATATATATATATATAGAAATATATATATATATATATATATATATATATATATATATATATATATATATATATATATATATATATATATATATATATATATATATATATATATATATATATATATATATATATATGTATATATATATATATATATATTACATCCTAAATTAAGAAAACTAAACTTAACTAAAACCAACTTTATAGTCATCTTTTAAACTTACATCACCATTTTTAAGAATCTATAATCTATATGATATTGATATGTACAACTCTCTAAAAGTTTACAATTATGCAAATAAAAAACTATGAAAATCATAATAACGTTTGTTTTTTAACTTATTATTATTATCATTATTATTGCTATTATTGCTATTATTATTATTATCGTTATTATTTTCCAGTAGCGCAACTAATTTCTTTCAAACTGAAATTGGAAAAAATTTATGCTTTTTATCATAAGGTATCTAAAAACTGTTTCCTTATTTTTAGAGGATGGAAAATATAAAAGCATCAACGACATAAGTTTATCCACTCGATATATCAGCGCCTTATATTATGCTGCAACCAGTTTAAGCACAATTGGCTTTGGAAATATTGCCCCAAATACGTTTGCTGAAAAAATATTTGGAATAGTTACAATGATTCTGGGCTGTAAGTTTCTTTTTATTTGTTTTAATACAAATTTAAAAATAGAAAAAAGTTATCAAGTTAAAGTGCTGGTTTTAGGAGTGCGTGGCAGCTACAAAAAAAAAACAGACTATAAATATGCTTTGTTTTATTTTTTAAACTTACGACAACTATTAAAGTATAGCTTTAAGCATTTAATGTTATATAGCCTCACTGTGGCTTTGATTGTTGTCGTAAGGTTAAAAAAAAAAAAAAAAAAACACGTTAACAGCCTGTTTTTTTCTTTTAATTTAGGAAAATATAATTCAATTGCGTTATTTTTTGCATCGACTAAATTGAAAATTTATAATAGAGTAACTGTTATTGCAAAACGATTTTTGGTTATAAAACCATGGTTTCCTACAATATTTGTTCCGTGTTTTTGCTAAAACAATGGTCTCATATAATGTCTGTTCTTTGCTTTTGTTTTGTGTTTTCCCAAAACAATAAGTATCCATAAGGTTTTAATTTTAATTTTTGATCCTGCAAAGCTTTGCTTTAAAACAAGACTTTTGTTTAAACAATCAAAATTCCTTTTAGGTTATTTTTAATGGATAAAACTTTTTTTAAACTTTATTATAGAGTAAACATTTTTTGTCTTTTACAAACTTTGATAAAGGTATATTTTGAACCAAACATCTTAGACTAACATATCCCCTGAAAATTTTAAGAAAAAGAAAACAATGTTATAGTTCCACTTTTCTTAATTAGTTTCATTAAACATACTTATCATACTTTACTATTCAATTTCCTATTATACTTTATCACTCTATTGATTAAATAGTTAAGAAGCACTTTTTTTCTCTTTCTGCATTTACGTATCTTATTTAAATTTATTGCTACTATGTATCTTATTTAAATTTATTGCTACGTCTCCTAAAGTTGAATTGTAATTTGCACAACGTCGTTTAATTGTTGCTCTTGGAAGTTTTTTTAATGAAATTAGTGTTTTTTTTTTTTTTTTTTTTAAAGTTCAAGGTTATGTTTAGCTATTTTTTTCAAAGTTACTAGAAGGTTTTTACAGTTATGGATTTTTCAGGTCAAAATTCAGATTTTAAGGGTTATTAATAAAATGAAAGTGTTATCAACAACAAAAAGAAATATTTTTCTATCAACAACAAAAATTTTAATAACAAATTAGCAAGATCTAAAGTAGAGTGAAAAAAACTTAATTATGCTTTTAGTTATGATAATTATGCTGATATGATTTTGAAAACTACACCAAATCTTTTCTAATATGAATTAAAAACGTTTTCTTATATGAGTTTAAAACCTTTTCTAATATTAATTTAAAACCTTTTCTAGTATTAATTTTTTATTTAAGATACTTTTAAAAAATCTTAAAACAAGTTATTAATAAAATTTATAAAAACTAGAAAAAAAATCTACAATTAAAACTATCAACAATCAATTAAAGTTAAAACTAATGTAAAGTTATTTTATTCATATATTATAATTAAACACAAGCTGCTACGCAAAATACAATCAACAAAGGACCAGACCAATATTATGCATGGCAATAAAAAATGATAACATAAATTTAATTAATAACTATTTATGTTTTTGAGTAAGAAAACAAAAGAGTTGTCTTTTTTTATTAGTAAAGTTAACACAAAACTAAATTTAATTGATAATAATTTGTTTCAAAGTCAACTGTTGAACAAAGTAAAGAATAAGGGTTAAATTATTTCATGTCTGGTGACGATCTGTTCAAGACAGATTGAAATATTACGAAAAGATAAATAGTTTGTATGCGGCTGTAGTTTTAACCCTAACTTAATTGGAATGATATATTAATTTAATATGGAATGATATATTAATATGAACATCAGTGGTCGGATTTGTAGAAGCTCTTAAATTCTTATGATCTTATGGAGTTATTCCTTATTTCTAAAACGTTGGGCGGAATAACTAGCATAACCATTATTTTTTCAAATTCAAAAAAATTATTATACTTATCATTACCACCCAATATGCAATAAGTAAAGCTATATAAGTAGCCAACACGAGCATTTCTTTAAATTAAAGATCTATATATTTGGGTCAAGATTAACCAAAAGTTTACCAGTAAGCGAGGGTTGGTTAGCATTAGACACATAAAAAATAGCTATAACACATATACTAACATAAATGGGCATTCTTCAAAATTTGGGGGGTAGCCACAGATATATATATATAACTTAATCTTCACTTATTTTTTAACTAATAGGAACAAACATATAAACTTAGGTTTTGCAACCCAGAAACTTCAGTTGGAAAGTTCTGAAACATGAATCAACACATTTTATTGTAAAAATTTGTGTAAATTTTTGTGTGAATTGTTGTGTAAACATTTGCGTGAATTTTCGGTTTTCCACATATCTTTTTATTAGATTTTGAGTTAATAGCATCTATGCTCAAGTAAATTTATAGCAGCAAGACTATTTTTGTGTAAATTGATTATTTTTAAAAAGTTCTAAACACATTCAAAGAAAATCACCATTAGTCTATTCTCTCTGATATAAAAGGAATGGGAGAACACTTTGAACAAAAAGATCATTTATAAATACTAGCATTAGCTTTTTACAAATAAAATTGTATTAAAAAACAGTTTAAAACACACTTTATTTCAACTATAAGTCTTTTTATTGAAATTAAAAACAAAACATATTATGCATTGTTAAACCACAGATAAATAAAAAAATTCATTATAATTTATAATATAAAAATTACAATATAAAATAAAAAACGCTAAAAGTGAAATTCCTCAAATAAATACTTAATTGGTTTTATTAAGTGCTCGTTTGTTTGTTTTGTTGTTGACAATTTCCACGATTATTTGTTTTTTTGTTGATAGGGCACACACCACACAAAGATCTTTTAAGATAGATTGTAGATAAATACGATCAGAAAATATATTTTGGTCTAATGGAAATATGCCGGTGTATTTAAATTTACTATGAGCAATTTCATAGTACAGCTTTTGAAAATGTACTAAATACAAGACCAGTAATTTTGAAATCCATAATTTTAATTCCAATATCGATGTTTTTTACTATTTTATTATTGCTCTGTCCTTTAAAAACATTCGGCACTCTATTTGTAGAATACACTAATATATATATATATATATATATATATATATATATATATATATATATATATATATATATATATATATATATATATATATACATATATATATATAATATATATATATATACATATATATAAATATATTAATATATATATATATATATATATATATATATATATATATATATATATATATATATATATACATATATATATATGTATATATATATAAATATATATATATATATATATATATATATATATATATATATATATATATATATATATATATATATATATATATATATATATATACATACATATATTTTTGTATTAAAGATGAGTTTGGCTATTTTTCAGTAGTATTATATTTAACACTTTGTTTACAGCTTTTGAAGTTATACCTTTGTCTTACGCACTATACAGTTGTTGAATATGTTTTTATTTAAGGTTTGGCATATGCTTTTATTTTTGGACAAGTAAACAATATTATCTTCCAGTTAAGTCAATCTAAAAATGAACATCTTTCGCAGCTCAGAGAACTTCGTCAATTTAACGCTTTATATAAAATACCTAAAGATATTCGAACGCTAGCAGAAAACTATTGCATAGCTACGTGGCAAGTTACAAAAGGGACAGATGAAGAAAAGGTGCTCGTACTTCTTGTTTATTTTAACAAAAAATATTTTTAACTTTTAATAAATACTGTTTTGCTAATAATGCTTATTGCCCTCACTCTACCCCAAGAACTCCTCTTTATTGAAACTCGTTGTGCTGAGTGTGGCTCCTTAAGATCTTAATTTTGGTTTTTTTAATCATAGTTTTATCCGCCAAAAAAAAAATTTATGTAACTATGGCTGTATCTTCATACCTATATAGCATATATAGCTGTATTTGTAGCAGTAGTAGTAGACCCAGAAATTCGGAAACGCCATTAGAAAATGTAAAGCTCCTTTGCTTAGGTTCGGACTGTTCTGTTGTTACTCATGCCAAAATGAAATAAGTTTTCATTTTAATATCTGACTGAAAATCTTTTTAACTCTTCTTTAATTTCAAAATTATCATCAGTTATCAAGATTTATTGTTCAGCAAATGGCAGGATTATAATCCATTTGAATAAATCAAATAAGCGGCTATGCCAAGAACCTCTATCAACTGTCACGGTTTTGATCTCATGCTGTTTATGCTTTCTAACAACACCGTAACCAAGTGAATGGTGGTCCGAAGCCGAAATAAGAACAGATATTATAATTGATTTTAGCCATTAGGCCGAGAAGCGATAACTAATATTAAAACTAGTGAGAAACTAATATTACACACCTACTAATAGCCTAATATTACAAGAACTACTGAGAAACTAATATTACAGACTAACAAATTAAATAATTAACGCTTAACGATAACGCAATTTCAAATTATTTTAAGGTTTATTAAAGACTATTTAACTACTTATTGACGCGCTTTCAGTTGATGTACAGTAAAAAAAGCTACAAAGTTAGTTGTGATGCAATAATCTTTAAATAAAGTAGTTTTACAAAAAAAAATTTAATTACATTTAAAAAAAATAATATTTAACACCTCTAAAAAACTTGTTGAAACATGGTAATATAATTTGTCGTGTGTTTAATGGGCGTAAACCACTCAAATAAAATCATAAAAAATATTCAAACTTTATATATACAATTTTATATAAAGTTTAGTCCTTTTAATGTATACATATTATAATGTATATATATTAAAACGATGTAAAAGGTTTACAGTATTGATAACTATTAATCAACATTAAAAACGTTTAAAAAAAAAAAAAGTTAACAAATAAAAAGAAACAAAAAAAGGAAAAATAAAGAAATTTACAAACGAAGAATAAGAAGATTGGTTTATACTTATTTTTAACGATTTAATTTGTAATATTTAAATTTGTAACGGATTAAATTTTATTTTATTTTGTAGAAGTATTTGTGTTTACCTTTTTGTTTTGGTTTCATCTTGTAGTTTTTGTAATTTGCCTTTAAGGTTTGTTTTTTATTTGTTCTGTTTTGCTAATTATTTTTATTATGCTGTTGTTATTGAGTGTTTTCATATTTTTTGCTTTATTATTTAACTTATTTTAGCTTTAACGTTGTTATTATTATTTTATTTTTTTTTTCTTAGCGATTTTCGGCTCATATTTGTTTTTTTTTATTATTATTTTATTATTATACTACTTGTTATAATTAACTAATGTCACTCGTTTTGATCATGAGTGACACTCATGCCATCATATTATTTGTATTATTATAGATAATATTATTTTTTTTTAATTATTATTGTTATAATTATTTGGTGTCACTCCTTTGATCAGGCTTCTGTTTGAGTGACACTTTCCTTTTCTAATAATTATTTATATTTATTCTTATTAGTTATATTTTATTATAATTATATTGTTTGTATTACTATAGATATTATTATTATTATTGTTATTATATGATTATATGTAAATTTTGAAAAGGAAAATAAATATCTAGTTGTTGTTGTTGTTGTTAACCGACTATTCATAAATTTATAATAAATAATTTGAAGTGTACGCTTCAATCTTTTTTATGTGTACGCCTAGTAAACATTTACAATATTGGCTTACAATGTTAGTCTATATTCTGAATGTTTACTAAGCGTTTAGAATAACGAATTAAGTTTGTCAATATTCTAAACGTTTAAAATCAACGTTTTATCAACATATTTATTAAAAAAGCTAGAACTGTTGATCCAAATTGTTTGTTAATTTTTAGTCGATAATTCGTTGTTAAACATTTAAAACATTTTTAGACCATATTTGACTAAATACTGACCTATTTTAGACGTTTCTGTGTTTACTGGGTTTATGCCAGAGTCAAAACACTCAGAAATTTCTTTGATGGTATTTTCTCAGCGGCTCTCAATTTCTGAAATAAATTTGCACACCGCATTTGTAATTAACACTTGTAAAGTGCCAACTACCACATTGGCACACAACGTTGATCCAACATTGAAATAATGTTTGGTTATGTTGGGCAACGTCAACCAACTAAATCTTATGTTGTAATAACGTTAGCTACAATATGCTACAACCTATATGCCCAGTTGGCACACCAAAGTTGGAACAACGTTAAATAACGTTGTTGTTTAGGTTGTATTAACGTTGAACTAACGTGGAAATGGAAAGAATAGTTAACTTTAGATTTATGCACTTTGTAATTTTGATGTAAAAGTAACGCAATTTTTAAATATAAAAGTTATAAAAGTTTAGTCGGTAACTCAAACCACGACCAAGAGCTACAGAGTAAAATGGGATTAAACTAATCATTTAATGGTTAATCAACTTTGCTACACTTTATATTGCTAGCAGATTTACTTATATAACACTAATAATTTGTATTATATTAGCTTTTCAAAATTTAAATATTCAAAAGTTTTGATACTTTTGATAAATTTTTAACTACATAAATACCTTGTCGAATTAAAGACAAAAGTCTTTGTAAAAAAAATTATAACACTTATTATAGTTATTATTGGCATAGGTATTATTCTTTAATATCAATAAAAAAGTTACGTTAGGTAAGCCAACGTTGTTACGTTGTAATTCGATGGAAAATAATGTTAATGTAACCAACATTATTATAACGATGTAATTCCAATGAAAAATAAAGTTAATGTAACTATCTTTATCACAACGTTAGATTTAGCTAGTCAACGTTGCCCAACATAACCTAACATAAATCCAGTTTAGTTGAATCGATATCGTGTGTTAAATAGGCACCATTGCTTCTCATGAGTATTCCTGTTTTTTTGACACCTAAATGACGACATTGTTAACGGTTGTTTACACTTGGTTGCGCCCACTGGCATATACAGATATACGTACGGGATTTTTTTGTTGATAATCTTTTAATTATTTATTTCAACCCATCTTTAATTTTGCACCATCCTCTGTTTTAAAAACCAGTTTTCTAATTCAATTTGGTGATTCTGAAAATAGGTATTCAAAGTTTTGAAAATTTCGTCACCTCTTATTGTAGTATGTAAAATTTTGCAAAATAAAAAATCTATTTTTACGCCTTCATTGTCAACGAATCTAACTTAGCAGATAAGTTAAGCCAGTAATACTGCATCTGTAAACTTATCAATTTAGACTTTTTCTAGCAATGACTTGCTGCCTAATATTCTGACTTTTATCAACAATTATGCTTTTTAATTGAAAAGTTCGACAGAGATTTGATCTTCTTTTGTCTTCTAAGCAGCTTTATCCGAAATCATAACATATACAATGATATTGAAGATTTATGAACATAAAAGTTAAATAAATTAAGTAAGACATATACTTCCGCCTATAAGTTTAATCTTATTTATAATAAATCAAAGACATTTTAAAAATTAAAAAAAATTTCTGATACAAACAAATTAAAGCCAAGATAAGTTTAATTATGTTATGAGGTAAGATATTGTAATAAATACACAAATGCTAATTAAAAAGTATAGTGAAAAAGCTTTTCATAATAATAGCATTAAATAGTACAAATAAGAAAACTTGTTTATTTGTTGTAGATAGTAATGCGTCATGAAATCCTATTTAGGCTTCATAAGCGTATATGCAATACCTTCATAAGCGTTTATGACTGTTCTATTAAAAATAATAAACATTTCTTTTTAATTAAAATTTCTTAGGGCTTCCTCTTAGTTTCAAATAATTTTAAGTTTAGTTTTGACTACAATTTTAGTCTTCCGAATGGCAAAAAGGAAATGGTGTTAATTTTAATGAACACTATTAAGCGAAAATTAACACTACAACAGTTAAACATAGTTCATTTGTGTTGGACTCAGAAGTTATGTTGCAAGAAGAAACCTTGTCTGACCAAAGTTCATAAATAGAAACAATTAAATTGGTCCAAAGCACACAAATATTGAACACAAAACAACTAGAATAATGTTCTTTGGTTAGACGAATCAATGTTTTAAATTTTTGGCAATAAACAGAGGAACAAAAAAATCTATGGATATCATTTCAAAACATTTGAAATGCTGTTCGGGGCCACTATTTACCATTGCTTTTTAACAGATTGACTCTTATTTGCCATGCAACAATTAAACCTAGAGGCGGTCATATTAATAAAATAGAAATTAATTTAAAGAACTTATTTTTGAGTAGTAATTTATTGCTTTTTTTGTGGAAACTGAGTAAGTTATAAAGTAAGTAAATAAAATTATTTTTGTAATTGTTGCTTTTATCAAATTCCAGAAAAACCCAAGTTCATTATAAAATCTAATTTTTCACTAAGTGCGATTAAACTTACGGACGTAGTGTAAATGCATTAAAACAAAGTACATAATGTTTAGAAATCAAAACTTAAGGATTTCAAAAGATTATGCTGCTAAAATCTTATTTTTTAAACTTTTTTAAAAAGTTTAAAACAGTTGTACAACTTTTGATTGCGCCTTTAAAAAGCCAAAATTCCTCAATAGAAGGTAAAGGGATTAACTCCTTCTCCCCTCCCACCTTTTGGAAACACTCCTCTAAAGTAAATCGTTTTTGCTTCATAACATTGTTTGATAAATTTTTAAACAACTTTACCGTAATTAATTTGTTTTAATAAGTTTATTATATTGCATCGTTTTTTTAATAGTAAACAACTTTATTAAGATTACACAAAGCATTCCTCGGAGCCTTCAATCTGATCTTTGCTTTCATATTCATGGAGATGTTTTCAAAAATGAGTCAGTATTTCATTATTTGAGTGAAAATGCCTTACGAGCTTTGTCGCGTTATTTTTGGACGTTGCGCACTTTTTCAGGCGATAAACTTATACAACAAGGAGAAATAGTTACTTCAATATATTTTGTGACTTATGGATTGTTTGAAATAAAAGATGGCAGTGATCTCATTGGACTTGTTGGTAAGAATGTTGAAGTATTATTTAGTGTAAATATTTTATTATTTAAATTTTGGTTTCTTTAAGAGTATTACAAGTTTTTCTTTATTAAAACTTAAACTCTTGGACTTGTTATATCTACAAAGTTTACATTTTATAGTTTTTATAAAATTTTTGATATTATTATAAATAACATTATTATTAAGATTATTCCTTCTTTTATACTAATGTTTTCTTTTTTTCCTATTTTGTAGGGGAAAGCGGGGTTGGTTGTCACACGGGGTTGGTTGTCACAAAGTTTATTACAGGAAATGTAGATAAGATTTAGAACTTTAAAATTATACAACGGAAATGTTATATAAAAAAATACATTTTCATGTTATATTAAAAAATACATTTTCACTGTAATTTTCAGCTTTTTTTACCGCGTAGAAAAAAAGTTTTTTGTTTTTATACGTTTTTGATATAAAAAAGTTAAATTTCGCTCACTTGGAAATTTTCTTTTACCAAACAAAAATTATTTAATTGTGCTTTGAATGTACATTTTAAAAGTTTTTTTATTCATTTGAGTAACTTAATCCACAAAAAATTCTCATGAAATTCACACGCTTTTAGATAAATTTATAGGATTTTGACTCTTACATAAAAGGGGTTGCTTGTCACAAAATATATGGGGATGGTTGTCACAATTGCCTCGATTCCGTGCGCTGTAAACTAAACACCACTTTTAGATATTTATAAAAATAATTATAAAATAATTATTAAAATAATTATTAAAATAATTATAAAATAATTATTAAAATAATTTATAAAAACACCGTTTTTAAAAACACTTATAAAGTCCTAAACTAAAGGTGTTTATAGCGTTGTATTAAAAAAAAACATTTTTCCGTACATAGTATTTTCGTTTTTTTACTTTTTTTTTTTTTCAGATTATTCAGATTTATTCTTTGTATAATGTAAACAGAACTTATTGGTACTAGTTTTAAATATAATCGAAACATACCAAGAAATTTGACATCTAGCCCCATAGTATGTGACAACCAACCCCGTACGTGGGGTTGGTTGTCACACAAAAGAGGTCTTTGATAAATGATAAATTTACGGCAAAAAATATTCCACTCAATGTCATAAAAACACTGTAACAGTTACCGGAAATAGTTAAATTACTTTTGTGCAAAGTTTGACATTGATTTAATAAAAAATAAAAGCTGAGCAGTCCAAAATGTAAAATTCAGCATGGATGACAAAACTTGAATTTCATAAAGTAAACAGGTGCCACTTATTCCCCTGAAATTGATGCTATCCTAAAAATAATTTCTTACTTCTAAAAACTTAAAAGTGTTAAGATATAAATAAAAAACTTAAATCTACTAGTTACAGTATTGCGATTCGATTTAAATAGCACCTCAAACATTGATAGGTTGAAGTAATAATTTGATCAGGGACTGTACATACCGCAAAAGCAATAGGTGGCTGTAGTCACATAGCAGCTATAGAATTGTCGTTATGTATTTACAAAGCTACAATATGTAGCTATCTATATATCGTGAAAACATTGCTAGCTCAAACGCTACGATATGTAACAATCATGTCATCATATAAATAGCTTTAAATTTGTCATTATATTGTAGTTTGTTGTTATTTTTCAGTTTTATATATATATATATATATATATATATATATATATATATATATATATATATATATATATATATATATATATATATATATATATATATATATATATATATATATATATATATATATATATATATATATATATATATATATATATATATATATATATATATATATATATATATATATATATATTATAGTAATATTAATACTACAAAGCTGCCGTATCTAAATAGCGACATGCCGTAATAAAACCACAATGTTACAAGTTATCAAAAAAAATTTATGTGTTAATTTCTTAAATTTAAATATAAATTAAAAAAAAAAAAGATTACTTTGAGTATTTTTAAAAATATTTTCCTTTTTCATTTTATTAAATCTCATGCTTTATTAACAGTTATTAACATTATTAACTTATGCTTTATTAACAAAATAAAATAAGACATGACTATTGGAGTTTCTTATTAAATTATATAAGTCTCCTGCGCGCACTATTAATAAGAAACCTTTTTGACATTAAAATTAATCTAATTACAACTAAAAAATTTAAAATTTAAAAGTAAAAATGTTGTTGACGTTGTTTTATTATGACCTTAGCAGCATAAAATATTGGCGCAATGATAGTGCGATATTGGGTACCTTGGCTAATAATGAACAAGATATGCGATACTGGCTCAATAATGATAAACAATAATGCGCCAATATTAGGATGCTGATATTGCTTTGATATTGTTTTTCAATATTAGAATGCCAATATTGGGGCCGCATTAGCGTGCTTATATTGACTAGTATTGAAATTTCAATATAGGCACATTAGCTTGACATTTTCCCAAAGTTGTATGCATGCGTAACAAAAGTTTTTAAAAATATGTGCCATAACAATTTTCGTTAAATATAGGTTTTTATTAGATTTTTAACTGCAGTAATCATTCTGAAAACTGGGAGAAATTGTTTTATAGAATTCTGATGGTTTCAAGTCATTTTAATGAATCAATAGTAAAAAGAATTATCAAGATAAATTATAGTTTTTGTTGCGTTACGATTTGTCTTTTCTTGGTTTACGTTTCTTGGCTTCACTTTTTTTTCTTTTTTAAGTTTTTATGAGGCCACATGTAAAAATGCATATAAAATGTCAAATATTATTTTTTATCTTTTTTTTTTCAAAAATAGTTGTTACAATTTTGTAAAAAATGTTTTTATTCTACTACAAAAAACTTGATGAAAAATTCTGTTTGTAGTTCACTTTATATGGTAGTTCTAAGATCAAATGCAGTGTCTGTTCCCTAATGCAATGCTTTTTACTGGACTACTTATGACTTTAACTCTTAATTACTTTTGTTCTTTCTTAAACTCACCGATTCTTGGTTTATTAAAGCGGGTTATGATGCTGTTTAATGAGCTGAACTTGTACTTGGGAGCTTTGTTATGTGGCATCTATATGTCATGTTGTATATAGATGTTTATTATCATACATGTTATATATAGTTGTTTATCTAATATTCGTTAGCAATCCTATATTTCTTTACGGTACGCATATATTGTGTATGAATGTATATATACATCTATATAGATAAAAATTCTGGATTTGATATAAAATGGCTTTTTCTAAACTCCATATATATCCAATATTGTAAACTAAGATGGGCTACCCAGAAAACATTGTATTAGTGGATTTGCATACAGGCATTTTGAGCGGTTCATTGGAGTTTTTCTCATCGATTACTTAGTGGACCATTAGTGGTGTTCGCCATAAATGGCCAGCTTATAATTTTCTAACATGTGATATAGTAGTAAGCTAGGCTCTTTTGGCGGGTGTCAAAAGTGGTCTACTAAGTAACCGATGAGCAAAACTACAGCGCTGAAAATGAAAATCCGCTATAGAATGTTTGTTAGGTATATATATATATATATATATATATATATATATATATATATATATATATATATATATATATATATTAAAATATTGACATTTTATATTGGTGTAATGTTTTTAACATTATTGCATCAATATTTAGATAAATATTGTACCAATTTTTCACCAATAATGCTTGCTACTAGGGGTACTTCTTAAATCAGTTATAGTTAAGTTTCTTCAAACCACCAACTTTGTTGACATAACTAATAGTTATAAAGTCTATACAATAACTAAGGTATAGTTGAGAAAATTATAGAATTAGAACTCTGATTTATTGTGTGTTGATTTATTTATTCTAAAAAATTAATCTGATATAGGACCTGGTGACTCTTTCGGACAGTATCCTATTGTGGAACCAGCAGATTCCAAATTTGAAGTGATAGCTAACTCCTTTAGTGAAATACACGTTATACGCACTCAAGATTTATTTGAATCACTTTCTTCGTTTCCTGCTGAAAGAGATTTATTAAAGTACACACTTAAGCTCACATTTGATCTAACAAAAAAGGTTGGGAAATATAGCATTTTATTAAGATATGTTTTGATTATTTAATTTTAATTATCGTCCAGAAAATTTATTTTTTTATTATCTCCAGTAACATTTATTTTACCAGTTATATGTTTTCCATAACATCATCTCCGGTATCAGTTTTTTCTTTTTATCTTACCCATTACATATCTTCTAAGATATATAATTTAAATAATGCTTATTTTCTGTCACACACATTTTTTATATTCTATTTTGTTATTGTATATAAAGTTTAATTATATTTTGCCATAAGTTATGAATTACAATCCCTTCAATCTTTTTTTTTATCTGATTTTATTTAATATATCATTAGTTATATGGTTTGAACCATTAAAAAATAATCTGTAGTATAATATGAAAAGCAAACTGCATTTACACTTACCACATATATTATTAACAATTGGAAACCATTTGAAACATTTCTCTTAAGTAAAAGGCTTTTAATAGTTTTGTTATACTTGTTGTTTTAAGTGGAAACTTTCAATTTTTAAGAAAATAAAAAAATATACAAATTTTTAAGAAAATAAAAAAATATACAAATCAAACAAATCAAAATCATTATTTTTCTTTTTAACCATAAAAGTGTTTAAACCAAAAGTTAAATATACTTAATACTTAAAAATAAATATATATATATGCTAAAAAATTTAAAAAAATGGTTCTTAAATACAAATTTAAGTAAATTTCTTATTTTTAATTTTTTTTCTTTATTATCTAAATACAATTACTATAATACATTAACAATCCAGCGGGCATTTGTTTTTAAAAATTACGTTCTATATGTATTTTAAATTATTTTTAAAGGTCTTCTAAATATTCTTAACTTTTTAAAAATGCGTTTTATTTATTAAAAAATCATTAATACAATTAGTTTTATTAAAAACAGTTTTTTCCAGTCTTATGAAAGGTTGTCAATAAACATGAAAAAGTTGTCAATAAACGTGAAAAATTGTGAGTACACATAAAAAAATTGTCAATAAACATGAAAATGTTGTCAATAAACATGAAAAAGTTGTCGATAAACATAAGAATATTGTCTTAATAAATGTTGCTCATACAGATGTGTAAAAACATACGCAAAAAAAGAATTATTATCCATAAATAGCGAGTATAGTAAATTATAGTAAATTTATCCATAATAATAAGGAAATCAGTTATATATCATGTGTCATTTTTTGTGTTTTTTGTCATATATTATGTGTCATTTTTTCTTAAGCTTGAAATAAAAACTCTCGAATACTTAGTTTTTACTCTAGTATGAGCAAAAATAAGGTTGTTTTGGGTATCCTTCATATTAGTCATACTGTTTGAACTTTACTACTAGATTTAAAAAAAGCTATAAGAAAGTTAAACTCCTCCAGTGATTCCACTTGTATTCCTATTCTTAGCAGTAGTGTTACAACATACACCAATCATCTGATTTTTAAATCTATGATTTATTTATTTTTTATTTTTATATTTTTTTGATATTTTTTTAGTAACATTATGATAATAGTTGAGCTCTATTAAAACAATTATAAAGGTTGAATCCTATAAAGGTTGAATCCTATAAAGGTTGAATCCTATAAAGGTTGAATCCTATAAAGGTTGAATCCTATAAAGGTTGAATCCTATAAAGGTTGAATCCTATAAAGGTTGAATCTTATAAAGGTTGAATCCTATAAAGGTTGAATCCTATAAAGGTTGAATCCTATAAAGGTTGAATCCTATAAAGGTTGAATCCTATAAAGGTTGAATCCTATAAAGGTTGAATCCTATAAAGGTTGAATCTTATAAAGGTTGAATCCTATAAAGGTTGAATCCTATAAAGGTTGAATCCTATAAAGGTTAAATCCTATAAAGGTTGAATCCTATAAAGGTTGAATCCTATAAAGGTTGAATCCTATAAAGGTTGAATCCTATAAAGGTTGAATCCTATAAAGGTTGAATCCTATAAAGGTTGAATCCTATAAAGGTTGAATCCTATAAAGGTTGAATCCTATAAAGGTTGAATCCTATAAAGGTTGAATCCTATAAAGGTTGAATCCTATAAAGGTTGAATCCTATAAAGGTTGAATCCTATAAAGGTTGAATCCTATAAAGGTTGAATCCTATAAAGGTTGAATCCTATAAAGGTTGAATCCTATAAAGGTTGAATCCTATAAAGGTTGAATCCTATAAAGGTTGAATCCTATAAAGGTTGAATCCTATAAAGGTTGAATCCTATAAAGGTTGAATCCTATAAAGGTTGAATCCTATAAAGGTTGAATCCTATAAAGGTTGAATCCTATAAAGGTTGAATCCTATAAAGGTTGAATCCTATAAAGGTTGAAATAAAGTTTTATAAAAAGTGAGCTCTAATAAAAATATTTTTAAACTTAAGTAAAAGCGTTTCATATATAAAAAAAAATAAGCAAGAAAACATGTGTTCCATCGCAATTTAAAAAAAAGGTAGATTTTTTAGATATCCTTTATTATAAAAATAATATTCGTAGTAGGAGCCTGACACCCCTCTCTGTCCCGAGAGGGGTGTCTAGGCTCCTACTAAAATTTTCTAGGCTGTATATTGGACAGCGGAGTCGGCAAAGTTAGATCTTTTGTTGGCTGTCGGCAAATGTTAGCTTAAGAGGACCTTTTTTTTTTTAGATCTTAGTCAACAAAAAAGTTTTTTTTGATTTCGTTGGCAAAAAACAGATACGTCACTCTCCCTTTAAAGTCTCTACAGGACGGCTTTGGATGTACGAGAGCCTTCACTTCTTGGAATATCAATAACAAGTCGAAGTGTTACTTTTTTCTCAGCTTTTTTTTTTTTTTACATGACACTAATTGTTTCTTTTCAGCTGTGTTTGTTTTAATTTTCCATGATTTTTCAAATCTTGTTTGCATTGTAATCTATTTTTTCTTGAAGATTTACAGAAACACTGTAGCTTGACGTAATAATTCTGGAATTGGAGTACAATTATTTTCAGCTTTAACAATATGATTGTAGTCATGATATAATATGGAACATTCATCCAAGGTTTCTTGACAATTAGTTTGACAGTCAGCTCTAATCTATTCTTGTCTAAGTGATTGGAAGAAAATTGAATTAGCATAAAAGAAAAACAATATTCCGATACCACGATCGGTATAACCAGTAAATAGCGCCAATATGGCTATAACGAACTAAATAACAATTATGTGGCGACTATTTGAACAATAGTGTTTTTTTGTTATTGAACGAAATTTTTGTATAAATAGAGCTTTTGTTGTTGTTGTTTTGAAGATACAAAAATATAAAGAATATAAGTAATATAGTTAATGTAAAAACGGTTAAGATCTTAAAAATATAAGTTATAATACATATTCGGTATTATTTGTGATCGCCATCGGATCTCTAAGATTAAATCTAAAGTTTTTTCAGCTGAATACATTTTAAAGCATGATATATTACAAGAATAATCAACTTTTTTATCGTCTGTTTTAGAACTTAGGCATTTTTTAGTCGTCTTTCTTTGTTGGAAATAAGATTATGGAAATGAAACAGGCTTTCAGTTGTAACTCTTAATTTTTTATTAAATTCTGACGATCAACTTTTGTTAGACCTTATTGAGAGATCAATGAACGACTTTGGCAGTGCAAAAATTTTGTTTTAAATTTTTTATTCGAACTTGGCCTTGAGATTCACTTACTAATAATTCCCTACATAACACCTTCTCGTAACAAATTATAAATCCCTTTTTGTTTACCCATTTCATTCCATTTTCTTTCGTAAATTTTTTATTATATAGACTTTCAAAGTTTTTCAGTTAAACAAAAAGGATTGTTCATTGAGAAATCAATATAAGAAGTTCAATATTTGGGATATGATTATGTTTTGACTCAATCTATAGTTACAAAAACTAACTAAAGGAGCCAAAAAGATTTAAGAACTTTTCAATATGGATCGTTTTTTTTATATATAAAATCAAATGATTTTGCCGCGGAAAATCCTGGTTAAAAATTTACTTGTTTAATCAAAACTTACTTATAATAAATTGTTTAAATATTTAAATAAATTGTTAAACCAACTATAAACTGTGTCTTTAGTAAGTTTTTTTACTTTTTAAATTGTTTCATGTTGATCTTCTATATGAGAAGCCCATCTATAAAACGCAGGTTTCACAAAAATAAAAACTTTAAGTTAATTCTAATTTGCAAATGAGCTCCTCATATTTTACAAAATTTCAAACCCTTACATTACATTGCGAACATTTTTTTCGAATGTTATTTTACAAAGTTCAAATGTTTTTAACATTTTTGATCTCTTAAAAAATATCTTTTTCTTTTCTTTTTATATTTTTTTTTTATACATTAGTAATTTATATTATTTATATTATTTTATACACAGTAATCATTATACTAATTTCATATACTGCTTGACTTTTCAAAAGCGTTTAATCGAGTTAATCGTTTTTTTTATCTAAATTACTATCCTAGATTAAAGATGTTTATAATAAAGGGAGACAAGGTGTGTCTCCCTTTATTAGAAACATCTTTATGTTTCTAATAAAGTCCCAATAAATGTCCCATGGCTCTGTCCTAGCAACTTCTAATATACATAAACAATTCTTGAAACAGTAAAAGATTTTCTAAATTTTTTTGCAGTCAACATTACTTTAATTTACTTATACATGTTGAATACAAGGGCAACATTTAAATATAAAAGATGAAAAGTTTTGTGTTTTGTTTCTAGTTTTTGTTTACTCACCTGTAACTTCAGTTTGATTATTATATATCTTGACGAGACAACATCTGAATGCAATTTAGTCGTTATTTTAGATATAATATCTAAAAAATAATATTTAAACTAAAAGGTTAGGCAAACTCTGCCTTTAGTATGCTCAAGAGAGCTTTAAAAATATGACCAGACCCCATGTTTTATAGACTATTTACAACATTTTTGATATCCCATCTTGAATGCTGTGTGTCTATATGAAATCTGTAATACAAGCAAAATATAAAGTATCTTTGCGTCTAGA